CTTTCCCCTGTATCACAGCCAAGCTGCAGAAGATGTGAGGCAAAAGTCAGAAATAAGAGACAAAACAAAAAAAACAGAGGCCTGTCTCCACTGTGTGGTTGATGTATGGATCTGACAGGTAGTTCAGAATGGAGAGGAAGAGCCAGTTCCTGGCTGTGATACTTAAAACTCAGTACAGTGCTGAGGTGGTGGCAGTTTAAATGCAGATTTGTTAGACTTGGTAAGTTCACCAACTGTTTATTACATGTGAATTCAATTTTTAAAAACCTCAAATAGAAAAAAAAGTTCCTAGACCTATTGAATCATTTTCCTGCTGGTGTCAGATTTAAGGGGTAAAAAAGCCAAGTTAGGCCCTGGCTCATGTAGCTCAGTAGATTGAGCCCCAGCCTGTGAGCCAAAGGGTCACAAGTTTGATTCCCAGTCAGGGCACCTGCCTGGGTTGCAGGCCAGGTCCCCACTTAGGGGCGTGTGAGAGGCAACCACACACTGATGTTTCTCTCCCTCTTTGTCTCACTCCCTTCTCCTCTCTCTAAAAAATAAATAAATAAACTCTTTTAAAAAAAGCCAAGTAGGAAAAGAAAGTGAAGATTCCAGTTCTGTTTTGCTCACTGAAGAACAGATAGTCTCCAAATAAAGGAGGAGGGGGAAGGAGCTGCCTGGGTTCTTTTCCAGCTGTGAGTCAGTTGGCTCCAGTACAGACTTACTTGCCCCGAGCTGACAGCCTTCAGTTCCAATATTTGTCTGAGAAATGTACAGACAGTCTCATGGGGAGTCCTTAGAGAGCTGCTTTAGCTCCTAAGGAAACATCTGTCTAGTGGGGCCCTGATGTCTAATCATTAACTTAGAATCAATGGAGGACAGGACTCCTTCCCTGTCTCTTTCTCTCTAACCTGCCAGGTACAGACTGAGTGCTTAGTAAAAGTTTCATTGAATGACTTACCTACAGAATGAATGAACGACTGCTAAACTTCACAGTGATCTATCAGTGATGTTAGAAAGAAAGCAGAGTTTATCTATAGATTAAAAGACATTTAAAAACCGTATCAATGTCATGTGGGGTGGTTGTTTGGATTTTTATTCCAACGCAAAAAAATGAGACAATTGAGAAACTTGACACTGATTAGATATTTAATCATTTCATTTGCCCTGCATTGTGTTTTTACATAACTTTTAATGTTATCATCAGTTTAAAAATAAGAGATTTTGCATTAAAATCCAAATTTTCAGCTTATTTTGAAAAATGGGAAGATCTGGCCACATATTTTTCACTCAGCTACTGCAGGCTAGAACTAAGGACAGATTGCTTTCTTTGGGGCCACAGGTCCAGAATAAGTGCTAATTCTTCCATGAAGGCTTCTCTGATCACCCAAACCAAGAGTGATTTCTCAATCCGGTGAGCTCTTTAGAACACATTTTAATTCCACACCCACCTCCCAGCAGATGCTGCCTATGTGTTTTTTCAGTAGACCTCTCATTGCCCCTGTTCCCCAACACGTGGACAAGATTATGGCATTTAGAGGCTTTAAATACTGAAAAGACTATCGAGAGGGCCTCCCCATATGTAATTCCAAATCAAATTTCATTTTTCAAAGTGGTGGTTTGTAACTGTAATTGAAAAATAAATTTAAAAATAGAAAAATATCTAAAAATTAAAATTTATGCTGAGTGGAAAAAAACCAAAGTGGTGGTTTGTATAAATAAGCTGATGACAAAATTTCTAGATTAAAAACAATCTCTAACTTGTTATTTTGAAAAATTTCAAACCCTCAGAAGAGTTGAAATAGTAAAATTAACATCTCTGTAGTCGTCGAGATTCACCAATTTTTAATATTTTTGTTAAATATACATTATTTGCCAGTGTTTCAGATATTATGATGCTTTACCCCTAAATTCTGCAGCACTTACTTCTTAAGAAAAAGGACATTTTCCTAGATGACCACAATATCATTTTCACACATGAGAAATTTGACCTTGATACAATAAGATCATTCAATGTAGTTTATATTCAAATTTTTCCAGTTGTCCCAATAATAATATCCCTGACTGTTTTATTCTAGGTTCTAATCAAGGATCATGTATTACACCTATTCTCTTCCTGTGATCTAGACCACTTCCCTGATGTCTGTTTTTAATCTTTTACGACATTAGCATTTTAAAGCATCCAGGTCAAGTGTTTTGTAGAAAATGTCACAGTCTACAGTTATATGAATGCTGGCTCATTAATGGATGGGTTCAACATCTAACAATGGGTTAAAAATTTTCAACGTTTTTGCAAGAAACTCCAAAGGTGATGTTGCATTTTTCTAGATTTTCTGTTTGTGAAGTTTCAGATAAATTCATCAGAGCTGAATTCATCAGAGCTGTGTACAGTAGATATGCTTTGCTGGCACTCTAATCACATGTGTGCCATATTAATAAACATGGCTATCATAATGTACATCAGACAAAGCATTGGTCTCTGTATATACATAGCAGCAGGGTTTTGGGTGCTATAATTGCCAAACTTTTACCCTTATTAGTATTTGTTTTAGATTTTATGTTTATTTTTATTTATTTGTTACTCTTAGAAAATCTCATTTTTGACTGCTCACAGAGGTAGAAGCCCTCAGAGACGACAGCCTATGTCTCTTAGCAATCTGTTCCTGGTGTTTTTCTTTGGTCTTCTTCATTCTCTTAGCCAAAAGTTTAGTGTATTCTGCAGCCTCTTCCTTATTTTTCTTAGTATGTTGCAGGGGTGTCCAACCTTTTGGCATCTCTGGATCACACTGGAAGAAGAGTTATCTTGGACCACACATTAAATACACTGCGACACGTAATTACAAAAAAAAAATTCTCATAATGTTTTAAGTAAATTTACAATTTTGTGTTGGGCCACATTCACAGCCATCCTTGATGGCATGCGGCCTGCAAGCCACAGGTTGGACACCCCTGCTTTAGAGCAATATGCCAACATTTTTGTTGAGGAACATGGGGAGTAACAAGATGCTGAATCTTGGGTGCTTTGGTCCTAGGTTTCTTACCTTAATGTTTAAGGGTTTTCTCACAACATATTGGAAGATATCATCTTTAGAGAGATTGAAAAGTTTGCAGGTTCCACTAGATCTTTTCAGCCCCAGGCGACAAAGCACAGTAGTATCAGTGAGACCAGGAATATCTTTCTCCCCCCTTTTTTGTTTAAAAAAAACAAATGACCAAGTTTAGAACGCTGAGATTGGCCCAGAGTGCAACCCCGAACAGATTTGTGCATTCTGTCTCCAGTTCTCATTAGTCTATAACAGGAATGCCCATTACTCAGCAGCAGGTGGATACAGCCATGGGTCAAGACATCCTAAGTCACAGCGAATCTTTGTCGTGTGCACCACTGATTTGAACCACATAACCCTTCATTCTTCACCCAGAGCATCAGCAGCAACTTCTGTGGCCATATGGTTCTCGTAAAAGGTACAAAGTTAGTGTTCATCGCCTTCTTCAGTGGGTTTCTGGCAGCCAGTGTCTGGGAAAGACATGCTCAGCTTCATCTTGAAGCACCCCACCACCTCCAATGTGCCATGAAAAAGAGCTCCTACTGCTAGTATTAATCTACAGCCACACCAACACTTATTTATTGTCTTTTTTTAAAAAAATTTTGCCAAATCTGTAGGTTTAACAAGCTACTTTGTGGTTTTCCTTTGTATTCTCTCAACTGCTGAAGAGTTTGAGCATCTTTTCTTATGTTAATTGACCATTTTGTGTTTTTTCCTTGTAAAAGTTCTGTTTATGCTTTTTGCTCACTATTTGAGGCTGTCTTTTTCTTATGTGTTTTTAGATCTTTCTGCATTCTGGATATTAATCATTTGTTAATTTTGTACTGTATATCTCAAATCTCAAGAAACAGTATAGCATAAAGTTAAGCATATGGATACTGTGGTCAGTCGTTTTGAGTTCAAATTCCAGTTGGGTTACTTACAATTGTGACTGTGGATAAATAATTTAACGTCTCCCTGCTTTAGTTTTCTTGTCCATAATGGAGGCGATAACAGTACCTACCTAACAGGGTTGTACGGGGATTAAATGAGTTAATAAATGTAATGCAGTTAGAACAGTACCTGGCACATAGTAAGAGTCAGTAAGTGTTTGCTGTTACTAGGTTTTTTCATTTTACAACTCCCATGTGATACTGAGACACAGTAGGCTCATCAAAGTGTTCATCCCACAAGTGGTCACCAGCCCCACTTGGGGGTCTACTACCCCATACCTAGGACCCGTGGATAAACTGTTCCCTACAACCAACCGTGTGCCACACCACACTAATAAAGGGGATGACTCCACTTTGCACAGGCAAACGCCCATGAGAACTATGTCTTCCCCTCAAAGGCACATCCAGCCATTGAAGCGTTTCCTTGTGAGTGGGAAAAACATTTTGCAAACTCCAAGGGCCTCCAAAGTCTGGAGAGATTAATGCAAGTCCTCTCCTTCAATTGAAAGACCCACAAGCACCCAAAAGATAATTTGCGCAACTTTGAGACCTAACAGTGTCATGATTTATTCTGCAATAATTTAAGAAAGTCTCAGTTCATGTTTGGCTCCCTAACACCTCAGAGGAGCCTCTCCGTGGGCTCCTTTCCCCAATTTGGGCCTTTCTTTGTGTAGTGTTTCAAAGACTAGGAAACTCGTGATACGAGCGCACCCAGAAAGCTCTTAGTACAATCTCCCTAAATGAACGAATGAGTGAAGGGAAGAAGGAATGTTACTGTGTTGCCAGGTAGAAGCGATGAGAAAAAGAATTTTAGATGGCCAAGCCGCGTGATGACTGGCTGGCCCCCAACAAAGGGGGGGGCGGGGAGAGCGAGGAACCTAGGAAACAGTTTCTTTACACTAGGTGGTCGCTGACGAGCAGGTCACGAGGTGATGGGTGGAGAGCAGCGCTGCCCATTTCGCGGGTCCCAGGTGGGCGGGGCCGGCTGGGTTGGCGGGGGCCACCCCACCCCGCCCCGCCCTCTGGCATCGGGGTCCTGGCCAGAGCGGCAGCCGCGCAGGAGCCTGCGCACTGTGGCCGGAGCGCCAGTACTAGCTTACGACTCGACCGTTCGGAAGATGGCGGAGCGCGCCTCCTCCGATGGCTGCACATCCCTAAGGGGGATGCGGGAACGCATGGGTGAGCGGACGGCTGCGGCTCCCAGGGAGGAGGGTGCGTGGGCTCGGGCTACGTGGAAGGCGGGTTTCCTGCGGCCCCGGAGACCACTGGAGCGGTGCGGTGGGCGCCAGAAAACTTTATTCCGGAGTCGCCTCGTCCGTCTGGTCCTCTCCTCACTCTCTCAGAAGCCCCCTGGGATGGGACGGGGACGGGGACTTGTGGTGGGACAGGGACGCAAGGGGCGACAGCCGGCCAGCGCCGCCAACGGCTGAAACCCATGCGAGAGGCGTGACGGAATTAACGGGCGCTGCTGGGCAAGGGGTGGCCTGGAACCCCGGACCCCGCGGATGGTCCCGAGTGCCGCCTGCTGTCGGAGGGCGGCGTGCGCCCCCGCAACCGCTGCAACGGACTCGCGTCTGCCTGGGATGTGCGGGCGCCCTGCAGAACCTGGTACGCCGGGACCGCCTCCGCGGCGGTGGGTAGCCTTTCCAGGCAACAGTGATTGGAGTTTCCTTCACCCAGGGCGTTTGTGGTCTGATTCTTTCCCACGGTCACAGTCCTTGCCTCTCTTCCACAGCTTACCCCTGGCATCTTCCTGGTCAAGGTCAGTTGAAGAGGTTGGGACTTGGTTAGCTATTGGTCCTAATTCACACGACTTCGTCAAGATGTAACCTTCCCTAGGACATCTTGCAGACCCTAGGCTGAACTGATTGAGTGCTTCTCCTAAACTAACCCCATCGCCAAAAAGTTTTTCCCCAAAATCGTTAATTTTGTCAAATTTGGCATTACATTGCTTAGCCCAGGAGATTGTTTCACTACCTGAGCGACGTAGTATTCCTAGCTTGTGGGAAGTTGCTTTTTGCCAGTTTTCAGACTAGTTTCCTCTATGAACTTCAATAAAACTATCATATTGATTTTATTAAAATCATTAGGATTGTTTTTTTCATTTGCAGTTGAAAAATTAATTTAGGTTGGTTACTATTGGGAAGTTTTATGTTACTTCAGAACACTTTGAATCAACTCTGCAAAGACTGCGTCAGAAGCATAATATACTTTTATCGTTCCATCGGGAGAAAAACTCATTTCTGTCTCTAGAGAGAGAGTTTGCAGTAAATTCAGACTGTTTATTGCTTGTGAACACCTAAGGCTCTCTGACATTGGTTTATATCATTGATATAAATTAACCAGTATTCTGGATAATTTCCCAAAGAATTTGTATATTGAATGTTGAAAAGTATTTGAAAATGTTTAGGGCAGTTGCTTGAATTGACAGTATTTCAAACTAAAAACTTAAAAAGCCATACAAAAAAATGCTTAACCCAAAACTGTAGTTGACATCCTTGGTACCCATTGTAGATTGGAAATTGAAAGCATCACCTGCTAGATCAGAACTGCCCTCCTGGTGTCAGCATTTCCTGAAGGAGGAAAATAGTAAAATGTTTTGCCACTCTGGCAGTTGGTTCTTTCTATTCTGTTGTCCAAATACCAGTGAGTAGCACTAAATCTATTAATCTGTACCATAGAATGGTTGTTCTCTGGCACAACCATAGATAGCCCTTTTATAACAATAAAAAAAAACTTGTTCAATCAGTTTTTGCAATCTATGCCCCTACCTACCTAATAAAAGTACTACTTTATGTGATCTAATATTTCTGATGCATACAGAAGAAAGGATCTTGGGGAAGAAAGGTCATGAGCTGGTAGTGCTACATATTTTATGTTGAATTCTGAACGGGGTTCAAGAGCAACATCTGTGGTTGACAAAATTACTGAATAAGTATGGGGGTGAATATCATTGACATCTCATGGGATTAAGCATTTAGGGGTGATTGTGCTTGTATGCAGCCTTAGAAGATTATTACCGTTCTTAACTAGTTGGCATGGAGGGTTCTTCCTGTTTTGCGTCTAGTTTGCCCTAGTGGAGCAGAACTCTAGTGATTCAGATTGTGTATGTATGTATGTATGTATGTATGTAAGTGATTATTTATATGTGTTGAAGAAGGCGAGGAGAGAGAAGCAATTTTCTACTGTATTGAAGTCAGTAATGAACTAAAGTGTGTTATGTCCTAAAGGGGCTTCATAATTTTCAATGACATTTTTTAAAATCCTATTAATTTTAAGCATTCTTTAACTTTGGCATCCTAGTGGTGCCTATTTTTGGTTCATTTCATTCTAAGGCTTATATTGGCCTAGATAGGAGGATTAATTGTAAGTTTCCCCCATAGGAGAATGATTTTTTTTCTTGTAATGTCTTTTACACTTTTTAAAAAAATGTAGCCCTGTCTTAGCCACAGTATTATCCTGCTTTAAAAAAAAATGCTAAATGCTTTAATTTTAAAATATTTCCACTGCCGTATTTTTCAAAGTATATTTAAAGCCCAAACCCATGTATTTTATTTATTCCTTGTTGAATCAACTTTATACATTTAGGTCTTAAATTCTTTTTTTATGATTTTTTTAAAAGAAGTAATCTTTTAAAAAATATTTTATTTATTTTTAGACAGGGGAAGGAAGGGAGAAAGAGAGAGAAACATCAGTATGTGGTTGCCTCTTGTGAGCCCCTACTGGGGACCTGGCCTGCAACCCAGGCATGTGCCCTGACTGGGAATCAAACCGGCAACCCTTTTGGTCCTCAGGCTGGCACTCAATCCACTGAGCCACACCAGCCAGGGCTAACCAGAAGTAATCTTAGTGGCTGGGGTGGGAATAATGAACTAAGTCTTACAGAGGTTAACGTGAGTTTTGTAAAGTGTGGTCCTTGGTCCTTGATAATTATGTAATATTTTAAAGTACAGTTGCTGCTTTTTTTTTAAAGATTTGATTTTTATTTATTTTTAGAGAGATGGGAAGGGGGGAGAAAGAGAGAGAGAGAAACATTGATGTCGACTGGTTGCGTCTTGCACGTAGTCCCCACCCAAGGACCTGGCCTGTAACCCAGGCACGTACTCTGACGAGGAATTGAACTGGCTTTGGTTCTCAGACTGGCTCTCAATCCACAAAGCCATACCAGTCCCACGCCAGCTGGGGCACGGGGCATAAAGTTGCTTCTTAATCTGCAATTGAATCAAGTTCTGGCTTCACCATTACTACCTGTGTGATCTGGGAAAGTTATGTTTAGCTTCAGTTTTCTCATCTGTAAAAAAAATGGGAAAAACAGTAATCGACACTTTATAGAATTGTTATAAGAACTTAATGAGCTTATTCAAAAAGAAATAATAGATTAAGATTCACAAATCAGTTTTAGTAATAAACTCTATACGTTTTTAAATTTAATCGCCAGGCGTAACTTTTTAACCTTAATTTGGGATTTAGAATTAGTGTAAGAAGTACAGAAATACAGTAGTATGCTTCCTATACTTTAGCAATACTTTTAAAATGAATGGTAAATAAATCCCGCCATTCCACAGAGTTGAGTAAATCCAGACATAAAGGCTTTGTCCCATTGCCTGGACATTTGAAATAATTTTTAGAGCCTGCCCTTTTAGTGAATGTATTTCTTGCCAGTAGGAATTTGGATATAAAGATCTAAAAAAGATCAGATTTGATGTTATGTTACCACATGAACCTTACATGATTTAGTTCATTATTCCCAACACAGCTAATTCTAAGGTTACTTCTGTTTAATAAGATCTGTGAATCTGGTAAAATTGTGCATTTTGAGAGAAATTGTCTTTTTGGTCAGCTAAACTGGGCCAAAATACGGACTTTCCTTAGGACTTCTAAGAAAATCAAATGTGCAAAAACAAGTTGTTTTCTCTCTGCTCACATAGAAATGTGAGTGGGGAAGGGAGCATGTAGGAGGGCTTAATTTACAGACTATATTTAAGAATTTTTCTTAATACAGTAGTACTCAAATTAAAAGGGTAATTGTGGTCTACATAATTGGCAGTAGTTGAATTATTAAGGAAGATGAGAAGAGTCTAATCTTCCAATTTAGCTAGGTCATGTATTATCTGACCTTCTAGGTCTCTGGGGTAAAAAAAAAAATCCCTTTTTGAAATGGTGATCCCTATGGCAGCATTGTGATGTCACTTTGAAGGTTACTCTGTAAAATGACTCCCAGATACCTCAGTGGCAACAAACATCTCTGAGTCCATTCATTCTATGAGTACAAGGACAGCACCTCTATTCCCTTATTTTCACTGCCCATCTTCAGCTGTTATATTTTCACTGATACATAGAAACCAGAATTGTATGCATTTCTTGTGCTTTTTTAATACAGAGGTAGAAGAGAATTTTCATTGTTATTCTCCAGATCCTTCCTGAAGATGCCCAGTGTTGTGGGGCATTTAAGAAACATCCATACATGGAATTAAAGGTTTCAGGGAATCCTCTATAATGACTAGTATGTGTATCACCCTAGAATTTTAGTTTTCTTGCTTTCCCTCAAATTGTGCTCCCCCTATCTTATATTTCACCCCTATTGAAGTTTTTTTTACTTTTTAAATTTAAGAATAGCTGGTATATAGTATTATATTGGTTTCAGACTATAATAGTATTCAGCATTTTTATATCTTAAAATGTGATCACCACATTAAATCTGTCACTATGCAAACTTATCGCTATTATTGACTTTATTCCCCTTCATCGTTTCCAGCCACCCCCATCCCCCTTACTGAGTTTATTGCTTTTCTGTTTACAGAAGACATGTAAATTTGTATAATTTATATTTGTTTGCTTGACATGTTATTGTTTTTAGAGGTGACATTAATAAAATTACATAGGTTTCAGGTGTACAATTCTCTTTTATAATTTAACATCATCTGTATATTTTTATCGTGTGTTCACCACCCCAAGTCAAGTTTCCTTCCATCACCATTTATCCCTCCTTTACCCTCTTCTACCTCCCCTCACCCCCTTTCTCTCTGGTAATCACCATACTGTTGTCTAAGAGTTCTTGGGTTTTGGGTTTTTTTTTTTTTTTGGGTGGTGGTTGTTTAATGTTAGAATAATACCATCTCATTGGAAATTCCTTGAGTGGTTCTCCACCTTCATTGTGCATCAGAATAGAGCTTTTAGCAACTGCAAAGGCCTGGGTCTGTCCCCAGGGAGTGGGGGCTGGGAGGGAAAGGAACTGCTAATTTTTTTCAAAGCAGTTTAGGTGACTGGAGACAGTGTAGAAAGCCCCCTTACTATTGGGCCCAATCTCTGAGGATCTCACTGTTGGCACTTTTGCTTCCAAATTAAAATCCATGAACTCCAAATGTTTTTTAAGTTCCCAGTTTATGGCAAAACATTTTCTTATAATTCCTTACTAGCTGTTTTTCAAGTATTGTACTTGGTATAATTTCTTCTCTTACGCATTTTTGGAAGCTATTAATCATTAGCTTCTACTCATCCACAAACTTGTGCTGCTACTCCCATTAACAGTTTTCTTTATGTCCACAGATATGCTGTCACATCCACAGCAGACACTTAATTTTGTGTGAGATTGTTGTTGAACATGATGAACTCAGTATATTTTTGTTGTTGTCTCAGCTTAGCTCGTCATGACTTATGGAAGATATACTGTCTTTTATCATCAAAGACACAAACTGTGCTTTGAGGCCCCCTGTATTAGCTGTTTGTATTCTTAGTATCTAATCCCTTTTCTTTATATCCCTGTATTTTAGTTGCTGCCGCTCGTGCCATTGCTCAAGAGAGACGCAATCAGAATGAGTTGAGCATGCCCTCATCCCAATCCTCAAATGCGAGATCAGCGTTTAAACCAGGTATAATTTCTAGAATTCTTTGATAGACGTCAAAGCATCATATCATTAAAGTTGTATATCCTATTGATGTCTAACTATATTCTTTTTTTTAGTAATAGATGGATCTGTGCTTAAAAATGACATAAGACAAAAATTAGCGAAGGAGCGCAGAGAAGAAAAAAGAAGACAGCAAGATGGTACATTTCAGACTTTTTAAAGAAATCAAAATGAATGAATTTTATATTGTTATCGATTTCCAGTGTGGTTTTATTTACTTTTTCTAATATGTTTATATGGTAGATGACACTTTTTATAGTATGCATTATATTGGATTAAATGCTTATACTAAATTAGATAAAGAAGGCCCATAAAAATACTTGAGTAAATTGTTTAATTTTTGAAGTAGTAATTACTGTTAATTTTAATTTTCTGAAAACTGAGGTATAGACATCTTTTCAACATTTGTAGAAATAAGCAGAGTGAGACTTAGTAAAATCATACTAAACATGTAAATAAAGTTGCTAAGAATCCTTACATGGCTATAGTATTCATCACTGATTGCTATGCTTCTCAACTATTACTTTAGATCAACGGATCTAAAAGAATAATTTTTTCTATACCTTAAGAGCATGCTTTTACAACTGTATTTTTCTCCTCCAGTCTGTAAATCAGCCCCGACAATACTAGTGCTCAACTTTATTCAAATGGAATATCAATTACCTTTGTTTTGGTGAGGAGCTGTTTCTTCCTAGCTGTAAGCCGGAGACTGTTTTACAACTGTATAGATGCTGCCCGAGCTTAAGCTAGGGGAAATTTGAATATAGGAAAACATCAAAATGTGGTTTGTGACTAAGCCAAGGAATTGCACGCTTAACATGGTCTGTATAGATGAGGCATTTGAAAGAAATTTCCTAGTAGAAGGGGAAGAAACACACTTTGGTCATGTGTTTTTTAAAAAACATTCTTATTTTAGTGTATATACCATGTTAATCTGGTAGAATTTCATTTTAGCTCAAATAATCAGAAACATATGGATGGAACTTTTTCTTCTTAATTTGGAATTTTGGTTCAGACAGGATGCGAGTCATGTAAGTTAATTTCGTACACTCAGTGAAAATGCATCTCTGTTCACTTATGTAATAAATGTTTAGTTATTAGCGCAGGTTATTTTTGAGAAAGAGAATGAGAGATAATTAACTTTCTCCTCTGTATGTAATGTGGAAAACTTTAAATATTTTCTTGGCTCTTACACCTTGTATTTGGAATATTTCAGCTACTAAAGAACTACAACTACTTGAAAAAGAAAGAAAGTCCAAGATCCAGTATGAAAAACAGATGGAAGAAAAACAACGAAAGCTGCGAGAACAAAAACAGAAAGATGAACAGCGAAGAATATCTGCAGAAGAAAAAAGAAAGCAAAAACTACAGGAAGAAAGGGTACATATTTTCCTAGACTGTTAATTAGATGATACACTGTTGCCTGCATCTGGAATACTTTTTTTTAAGCCATTCTCTGCTTTTACTGGTTAATCCTGTGGAAGGGGAACAAATCCCAATTCTTCCTTTCCTCCCTTCAATATTGGAGGCTCTTGCTCCTGTCACAATCAGGTTCTGGGCGTTGAGAGCCACTGGCTGAGGTAAAAAGGAGCCTTGCGGATCCAGGGCGAGACCCCTTTCCATCTTCAGGACATGGTACATGTGGTGCCTGGGGCCTGGGGTTTGCTCGGAGCAGTTCTCTCCTACCAAAAAGTTTTCAGTGTTGACCTGATTCCTAATATGCACAGACCCACTATTTGGCTCTCCCTGACAGGACCCCATCTGACAGGCTTACTTCTCACAACTATAACTCTGATTGCAATCCTGAGTCTCATCCAACTCCAAGCACTGCTCCCTTACACATTTCCCTGACTCCCTCTTGTGTGTGCACACCTTCTCCCTTGCCCTCTCCCTCATGTTCCTCACGTTCCCTTCTTTTTCTTTGTTTTGTGGCCGACTGCTCTCTTCCTTTCTGGACTCTTTGTTAGTGTCTTTGGCACGCTCTTAGTATGTGTCACTGCCTTTGTGATGCCCTCTCTTTTTCCCTTCTGTCCCTCTGTACTCAGTTTCTTTTATTAATACATGGACATCTGGCTCCCTGTCTCATTCTGTATGATTATGTCTGACACCAAATTTTTCTCCTGTAGTTCATTGCACTACTTTATTCTGAGTAAATTAGACTCTTCTGAATCTGGCAGATTCTCTGTGACACCATTCTCTTTCTTGCTGGCATTCTCTTTTCTTCATCCCAGTGACTCTCAAGGGTCCCTAAATAAGCTTTAGTCTGTCTTCTGGTTCTCTGTTGTAGGTGCCTCACTTTTCTTTCTTTGTTTCAGCTTGTCTCTTTTTCCCTCATCTTTGTACTTTCTTCCTGTTGTTCCCTTAGTATGTGGCCTTTTATCTTTCTGTTCTAAGTTTTACATTTCTTTTTCTCTTTTTTCTCTTTGGTTCCATTTCTTTCCCGTGAGCCGCCTTCTCTGTGGTGCCCTCTTTTCCGCCTTCCTTGTGCACACAGCTGCTCTTGTACATGCCTCTTGCACTTGCGTCCCCCGCCACAAGCTTCTACCTCCATCTGTGGATGTTGTTCTAGGACTGCCCTTGTTCCATTTCTTCCCCATTCATGATCCATTATCACTTTCTCTGTCTTTCTGAACTTTTTTACTGTGGTTGCTTGTGCTCTCTTTTTTCACAATTCAATAGTTGATGGACTCTCAGAATTTCTGTCGCTTCGTTTTCCTTTGTGAAACATGTTATTAATTTACTTATCTATGTTGAAGAGAAAGGGGGGAGAGAGAGAAAGAGAATATAAAATTAAATAAAGATAGAGAACCAAAGAAAAGTAAAACAAAACTGTGTGCAGAGTGGGGAAGGGTCCCTGGAGGAGAAAGGTGGTCCCAGGGACTGAGAGAAAAAAATACCATCTTAGAGAAGCAGGGATCTGAGAGAAGGAACACAGAGGAGAATACAGGAAAATTCAAAGACCAGAGACGTGGTGAGAAAAGAGGCAGGAAGACAAAAAGACAGAGCCAAAGAGAATCAACCCCAGACAGCTTCTGTGGGAGAGCAGAACAGGGACAATGGGACACTATAAAATGGGCTCCAGGTAGATCAGGGGAAAAAACCCAAACTGTGTTGCTGAGGAGGGGCCATGGGAGATACCGTATTTTGCCGTGTAAAATGTGCACTTTTTTGCCTAAATTTTTGAGGGGAAAATAAGGGTGCACATTATGCATGGGTAGTAACTGCGGCACCTTATATCTGTTCTTGTGTTTTGTGATTATTTGTTACATAAAATTTCTTGTATCATAACCTGTTCAAAAATGAACGCTAAAATTCCTTTGTAATACAAAAAACAAGTATCTAAATAAAAATAAAAAATGGAATTATAAAATTAAAATGAAAGATATTTTCTGGAGAGTTCAGGCCAAAAACGTGGTTGTGCATTATACACAACAAAATACGGTATACCTGAGCCACAGATGCAAGAAGGAACCTGAGAGCACAGGTTCATTTGGAAATTGTGGGATAGAATTCTTAGGAATTGGTAATGTTCTACTAATATAAGATTAATCTCTGATTTTAGTCCATTATACTTTCTGTGTTTCTGAGTAATTTAGATTAGGACAACTTTCTGTTAGAAATGTAATTTAAAAATATTGACCTTAGGTAAATTTTTTGAAAAATTTTAATAATTGCAATTGCTACTCTCCTCAAAGGTACAGACAATTCTCCATTTTCCTAGTGTGTTTATCCTTTTCTTCCTCAGACAGCGGGGACATTGTAAGGATGATGTTGCTAAGAAACAGTGGTTGTCAGGGAAAAATAGAAAAGCTGGCCCTGAAGTTAATTTGCTTGTATAGCCCATGGTATATTATAGCACAGGGATGAAAAATATCTAAGTGAAGAAAATCATTTCATTTCTGGCGGCAGAGTTGTTTTGTCACCGTGTGGCACTGACGTTTGTGTAGCTGCTATCCTGATAAGTTTAAATTGAACTTGAGGTCAAGACAAATACATTGATTATCTTTTCTAACACTGGGTTATTTAACACCAGAATTTCAGATGTCATAAATGTGGGTACAGTGGATGACTCTGGCATAGATTTCACATCTGCATGTGTGTGTAGATTTTTTTTTCCTGCTTCGTTCTAACAAAGAATTTCAGGTATATTTTTAAAAATATATCCCACAACCAGGTGATGAATGTTTGAGGGATTCAAGCAGAGGGGAAAATTAAAGTAGGAAAATAATAAAGCATAAGGTATGATTAGTAAACACAAAATTGGACCCCTCACTCTTGTATAATTGATAGAAATAGACTACAAACTTGGTTCTAAATTTTGTAATGACATAAGCAGAGTGAAGCACAGTCAGTTCTTCAATTCAGATTCAAAAGATTAAAACCTAGTTATTCAAGAGAAGTACTGATACGATTGATAAACTGAGACATGTCTCTATTTTTAACTTTTACCTGATATAAAAAAAATTCTACCTGATACAAAAATTTGGTGATGGTGTTGTTTTATAATCCACAGATCACACTTAATACTAATCATTAAAAGGAATATGTAAAAATTGTTGGCATTTATTTAATTTTATTTGTTTATTTTAAATAGGAGAAATTCAAAGCTGTTGTCTCTCGTACATTGGAGCGCAGCAACCGTATTGAACAACGTCAAAAAAGATGGTCATGGGAAGGCTCTACGACACTGAACTCTGAAAGTAAAATGGGTAATTAATGCAAGCAACATTTAAATTTTAAGTTCATTCATGCTTATATTTAAATATTGGCTGTTAGTGTAAGGTTGCATTTATGACACAGTTTTGAGTTTTGTATCTTAAATGAAAATGCTGCTATGTACTCTGGCATGCACAGTATTTCATTTGTGTTGTGAGATAGCAAAAGAAACAGGTAAAAATTTTATAACTTTGTTTTATCCAGTATATGCAAAACCTTACCAGTTAAACTTGTAATTAATATAAAATGATTAATAATGAATAAGCTTGACACACTTTTTCCTATGCATAATTTTAAAATAAATTAATTCTGCACCATTTTCTATTGATATACTGTAAATATTCCTACATGTGGACATAATTCTACACAATTTCATAAAACCTAAGTTAAATTTACATAGTGTTTAAGGAATGACCGATAATAAACATTGTGTACCTAATTAATCCATATTAAGGCTCCATCATGAACTACATCATGAGCTCATTTTGTTTCGGCTAATGATACTTTCTCAAAATATGAGTACATTAAAAATTATATCTTTTCTCAGTCAATAAACGCTTTGTATCTACTGAAAAACTCGAACAGGAGACTTGTGGATCACACAAACAAAAAACTGTGTCATCTTCCAGTCTTCAGAATTCTATTGCCAAGAGTAAGTAGTTACTTCATGTATTGCACTGAATTTCACATCAATTAAATAAATTCTTTCTGTGTATTTTAACAGTACCACTTATTCTTTGGATTGATCCACATTTAGATTTATTACAGAAGAGCACCACATGGATTAACAGTAGAGATGGTCATTATTATTTTATATTTTCACCATTATACCAATATAAATGTCAATATATGTATATATATTCAATATACCAATATAAATATCAGTATAAATCCTCTTTCTGTGCTTTGTGTATTAATCATATCAGATGGGTTTGTTGGACTCAGCCCAAAGTGAAACATTTTGACCAAAAGTCATGGCCATTAAGTGGCACAGTAATTTATTTTAAAATTAATTCATATTCTTTCTAACCTACGAATGAAATCTTTTTTTTTCCTAAGGACTAATTAAACTAGTCATTTGATTTTCAATAAGTTTTATGAATATTTCCTCATTTAAGGAAAATAATAGCATATATATAGCAGTGGACAGATTGATCTGCTTCATACCTATTTGTTATTCACAACAACTTTGTAAGGTTGACAAGCAAGTATAATTACCTTCCTGGTTTTATAGTTTTAAGACCCCAGTGAATTCACCTACTATGAATACATCAAACACCTCAAATACCTTTTGCCTCTAGTGTTTGCCCTTTTAATTAGTATTTCTTATTTTAAAAATCGTTATCTGAGTGTGTCAATGACCATTTCTGGCTGTAACATATGGTGCTTTCACTAATAAAATGGATTAGACAATTCATATCCACCAATCAAAAAAATCCTTTTTCTTTCTGGAGATAGAAATAGAAGTGATCTTGGCAGGAAAAAGACATGCTACACATTCCACAGCATTCCCTCAAACTTAGCCATTAAAAAGGAGAAATACCACTTCTTTGCTTTATGAATTGGAAAAAAAGACAAGGTGTAATTATAGTTTGAATTAAAAAAGTTTTTTTGTATTATTAGGTGCCTTGACAGTTTTTGGAACAGTGCTGATTGCTATAAAATTTCATCACAGCGAAAGATTCTGAATCTGATTTAAAGTATAATTAATTGTAGGATTTCCATTTTGTCTAAATATTATAGTTTTAATATGTTGAAAATGATTTTTGTTTTGTTCATACTTATATTATGTTATTTGTACTTTTACGACACTTACAGTTTCCAAAAATTTGCTGTGACTGCTTTTGTCAATTTGGGAGCATCACATTTTCTCTTGTATTGATCTCACAAAAGTTGATCCATTTATCACCATTACCCTCAATATGCTTTCCCAAAGCACTTTTATGTATAGCCCAGATCCATTCATAAATTAATGTGGGGAGATTTTCTGTAGCACCTTCTTGTCATATAGTAAAATTTATTTTTCACTAACTCAATCCTTCAGAAAAATTAGATAACAATCATTGCAATGTTATGTTTATATACTTTCATTTTAATGTATCTTGTTTCACAGGCATTGACTGTTTTACTCTCTAATTGCTTTGACATATTAGCAAATATTTCCTCCAGAGACATTACATTTTTAGTATACTGAGCAAACACTAATGTGCTTTCTCTAATATATCTACTTGCTGTATTAATGAGACATGTAAAGAGAAGGGACAGGTGATGACTTTGAAGATAATAATTACTTAAACTGCACTGAAGGAGCAATTCCAAGTAAATTTTTAAATGATGTCTTTACTATTTTTTAAAGATTTTATTTATTTTTAGACAGAGGCGAAGGGAGAGAGAAAGACAGGGAGAGAGACATCAATGCGTGGTTGCCTCTCAGGCGCCCCCTACTGGGGACCTGGCCCACAACCCAGGCATGTGCCCTGACTGGGAATCGAACCAGCGACCCTTTGGTTTGCAGGCTGGCACTCAATCCACTGAGCCACACCAATGAGGGCTGATTTCTTTACTAGTTTTTAATACAAGAAGGTATGTGTGGAAGATACGTTGTGAAATAACTTGGTTGAAGGTACAGTATATTGCTAACCTTGAAATGATGAATGTTATAATTAATCATTCCAGGGAAAATAAAATCAATATTGGTAGTGGCTTACCTTTGTAACATCTCTTCAAATTGAAATGTAACCTGTTGAATCCGGAGAGATGAAGATTTCAAAGTCAAATGAAGATCATAATCTAACCTGTAGTATTTTAGATAGCCCTGTTTTTAAATCTTGGCTGATTAAAATAGTCTGCTTCTGCTCATTGCTGCCTCATAACAACTGTCTATATCATTTTGCCATTTCTTGCAGTATGATGATAAAGGATTTATGACTTAATCACCTGAATAAATCAATTAAACTTCTGTGGTTCATGATGCTTAATTATCAATTCAAGAATTTCCAAATGATGCTATACTGTCAATAGTGTACTTTAATTTGCAGGTCCCCAAAAGAGAAATTATTTTTTAAACAAACATTTCTCAGTTTTCTGAACCAGAATATTTCAAGTGAAATAGAAAAGTGTCTGCACAAAAGATTATTTTCCCTATGAATGGTTTGAGTTTCTAAAATTGTACATCTATCATACCATATGTTAATGATCATTTTTGCTTAAAAAACATTAATTATAACTAAAGTATAAATTACTTTAGTAGTAGATGTCATGAATTAAGTCCACAGTTAAAGGTTGTATATTCCTAATTTGGGAATTTTGATGTTGTTAGGTAGTATCAGACATTAACCTTTTTAATTTTTATCAATTTCTAAATATTTTTATTTCATTTTAGATAAAGAGTAAACTAGTTTTAAGTTTGGGAATGTAGAATCTGTATACTATATTTGAAACTTAAATACTTATAAGCAAGTACAGAGAAGATAGAAAATGTTTGAAAAAAGTAGTGGCTCAATACCCAAATAACATACTTAAACAGATTGTAAAAAATAATATTCCTTTGCCTTCGATCTCCAGAAGAAGCCAGAAAGAAAGGATGTTTACCTTTGAATAGAAGATATAGCAAACTACATTCACCTACAGAAGCTGAACAAGTAGAAGGAAAATCAGGTGGTTAGTTATTTCTAAGTACCAATCTTAAATAGTGGTTTAAAAGAGATATACGTATGTCAACATTCAGTTGCTTGAGAACTAAAATTGGAAGCCAAAATATCCCTTCTTTAAAAAATGTACTTTGGTTCCATACTTGTTTGGCTGAAGCCAGAAGAGCTTATCTTTAAATGAAATACATAATTCTGCCATCCTCTGAGCAAAGGGTCTTTAATGAAGCTGGCAAACTAGATGACAGATGTTGAAAAAGAGAGTTTTGTACTGGAGGACTTGATTCCCTTAAAACATTTTATCAGTTTGCATTTAGAAGTTCTAAATCACCGGCCACATTGTGAACCTCAGCGCTTTGCTCTCTTGCTTTATAGCATTACCCCACATTCATCCTTTGTGCATGTTTTTCCTGCTGATTATTGCATGTAAAATTTCACAATTATTACTTCTTTACTTGAAGTAGTGTCTGTCTAACACCTTTCCCCCTAACTTTTTCTTGTCAAACATGATGGTTGCTTTTTGTTTCATACCAAACCATTCACCTACTGAAGACTCTTCACTTCATTGATTCAGGTCAAATGCCATTGTCACAGGGGTCTTTATGAGCACACAAAAAAAAAAAATCACTGGAGCAAGATACTTACAGTGAGATTCATGTTTAGCAAAGAATTCTGTCAGTCCCTTGGAGCTTTTGGCAATGGACTTGACTACTATTATTGTTAGCAAAATTGTTTTGTCATTTACAACTGTTTTCTCCATATGTAAGTTGCTCTGTAGAGACTACATCTGTTGGGTGTGGTTCTGTTAAATATATTATCTAGATTCCTTTGTTGGTGGTGTCGTGTTATGCTGGGGCCTTTGCTCATCTATTCAGGTACTCTCTTTCCTGACAGTGCAGTCTGGTCAGGTGGCAGTGTTCACTATTATGTACGTGTTTTTCTCATTGCTTCTGCTTTTTGGCTGGGTAAATTGTATGTAGCAGTTCATTTTGTTTTTTTTTTTTTTTTTTTTGCTTGGCACTTATTTGTGAGGCCTCAAATTGAAACTTTTTTTGTTTGTTCTCATTATTTAGTTCAGCAACTGTACACTGATATTTGGGAGAATGATTTAATCATGCGCCTGATCACCCCAACAAAAGCATCAATAGCAAGGAGCAAAAGTGCTGCTTCATTGTCAGTCTCTGGAAAGGATACTCCAGGTAACAGACATAGGGTAGAAAGCTGGAAAGTGTTAATATTTGCCTTTAAAAAGTAGGTTGTGTTGTGTCACTTTTGTTGTTGCCGTAAGGCATGAAAATAATTTGACAGTAGTTTCCAAATGAATGATTTTACCCAACACTTTATGTTGTGTATTTATTTTATGATTTTTAGCATGGTAGAGTAGTTATCTGGGCAATAATTAATTTACAAGATGAGGTAAGTAATTTTGGTGATGGTTGTTAAATTATAAAGCTTTGTGGGTTTTTTGACCTGTGCTTAAGTGTGTCACTGTACTGTAAAAAGTACTGGATTTTAAAAGTAGAGAAAAATTTAATATCAAGGAAGGAAGATTCATACTCCACCCTTCTTTTTCTTTGTTAAAATATGGAAGAATAATATTGAGCTGCTCTCTAGTTTTTTATTAAGAACATAAAGATTGTTAGTGAAATAAAACAATTCTTCAGGTTATGTGGATTTTCTCATTTATAGGTTACATATAGTGGTTAGTTAGATGTCCTCAGTAATGGAGAGCTCTAACACATTATTCCCATCATTTATTTTCCTCTTTTTTTCCTCCACTTTTTTAGATTTCCAGAATATAACCCACCCCCTTTTTTGTTCAATATTCTTGATTGGTAAAATAAATCAAAATGCTCTCACTTTCTAGTAGTGCATCTTTTCTTCTGGTTCGAACCCCTGGCTTTGTTTATGCCTAGTTATATGTATGTCAGATTGCTTTTTGCCAGTCTCCCTTCAATTACATATTTCTAATTACTTTCATTTCAGTTTAACGTATCACTCCCATAAAAAAACTCAACATTTTGTCTTAAATTTCTATAGCTACTGGAAATTTAGTTATTATACTTATTATAATATAATAAAATATATTAAACTATATTTTTGTAGCAAACTGTCAGTGTTAAATAATGTGACTGTTAGACATATGAAGATATGTAAATAAAATGTTTTCCCCATCAAAAGTGAGAGACTAAAAAAGAACATTCAATTTAGTCAAATTTCCTATTTGTAAGTAGTAAATCTTTGATCATTTGTTCTATTTTTATTATTTGATAAGATCATATAAAAATTTTCCACTCATATTTAAAGATGATGTGAAAAATTTACCATGTTTTAAGAAAGGCACCACCAAGTACATTTTAAAAATATTTAACTACATATTTTTCTTTGTGTATGTGTTTTTTTCACAAAATAGGATTATAAACTACTTTTATTTAAACTCAGTACCTGTTATTTTTACATCCAAAAAATTACATATTATTACTCTTTTATTTATTGATTTATTTTTAGACAGAGAGGAAGGGAGGGAGAAAGAGATTGAGAGAAACACCAATGTGTGGTTGTCTCTTATGTGTCCCCTACTGGGGACCTGGCCCACAACCCAGGCATGTGCCCTGACTGGGAATTGAACCAGCGACCCTTTAGTTCTCAGGCTGGCACTCAATCCACTGAGCCACTCTAGCCAGGGATGCATTATTGCTCTTTAAAAAAAAGAAAAGAAAAGATTTTAGGGGAACAGAGGAGAAAGGGAAAGAAACATCAGTGTGCAGTTGCCTCTTGTGCGCCCCCCACTGGGGACCTCACCGACAACCCAGGCATGTGCCCTGACTGAGAATTGAACCAGCGACCCTTTTGTTTACAGGCCGGTGCTCAATCCACTGAGCCACACCAGCCAGGGCTGCATATTATTACTCTTAATGACTGCCTTAGTATAGTCCAGATTTTTTGTTGAACAGTTTCATTATATTTTCAGTTATTTCAGTATTATAAAAATGCTATCAGGAACCTTGTAAATTACATTTTCATTTATTTGTCTTATTTTTTCCTTAGTATAAACCTAGAAGTAAATTTGCTGGAATAAAGAGTATGTACTTTCTAAAGTGCTTTTTGATATATTATTGCCAAAATAACCCACCAGGGAGCTTATGCAAATTCATATTCTCACCAGCAGTTTATGAAGTTGCCTGGTTCCCAGAATTGGTACCAAGTATTATCACTTTTGTTCATTATTAGGCAAAAAATATTTAGATTGTTAAAGCTGGAATAGGCCTTGGAGATCCAAACCATTTTGATTAATATCTTGTTAGAATTTTTAAAAATTAAATTTATTGGAATGACATTGGTTAATAACTTTCAAGTGTACAGTTCTATAATACATAACCTGTACAGTGCATTGTGTCCTCATCACCCACAGTTTAGCCTTCCCCCATCACCATATATTTGATTCCCTTTACCCTCTTCAACCTCCCCCTACTCACTTTCCCCTCTGGTAACTACCATACTGTTGTCTGTGTCAGTGAGATGTTTTATTTACTTGTTTGTTCATTTATTGCTTTCTGTTTTATATCTCACGAGTGAAATCACCTGGTTCTTGTCCTTTTCCATCATATTTATTTTGCTTAGCATGATACTCTCAAGACCTATCCATGTTGTTGGATATATTCAATTTTTAGTATGGGAAAGAAAATGTTCTTTTTAACATTCTACTCCAAAACAGTCATGTATAGAGTGTCTGACATACTCACCTGTAAAGGTACTCTGGCCCTGGTGAAGTTGTTTAAGACTAATTTTAGAAAGTGTAGAATATCTTGCAATTTTCTATGAAAATCATTCTGAACTATAGCATGATTAAAATAGAAATGGCTATTGCAAACATCAACTTTGGAGAAGCAGCTTATTTTCATGTGTAATGGATTATTGCTTTCACATTGATTCCGTTAGTGGTGGTGCTTATGAATGTACCACTTTTGCCATGCTTCTGTCCTGTGTATATGATTCATTTGGCTAAACACCTCAGTGATGTGTGCACCCCTTGTCATTTTCTTCTAAACACAGTCTCTCTCTTCTCTATTCCCATTCTTATACTGTTTCATGCTGTATTTCTGTGTTGTGAAATTTCTAACTGAAATTTTATTCTTTCTCCTCATTCACCCATAGGTGTCCACAACCCTGTAATGCGGTATACACACATGCCCTTGCTTAGCCTTAGCAGTGACGAATTGAAGAATACCGCAGTGCTTTGCAAGTCAACAGCAGCAATACCTCCACAGGAGAAAGAAGAAACACCTCTCAAGGTGAACCGCGAAGCATCCCCTGAGGCAAGTATGGAAGCAGCCCCAAAGGGGATCTTGGAAGTGTCTCCGGAGACAAGTGTGGAAGTGGCCCCTGAGGCAAGTGTGGAAGTGCCATTCAGGGCAAGTATGGAAGCAACCCCCAAGGGGAGTGTGGAAGCATTCCCAGAAGTGAGTGTGGATACACTCTCTGAGAGTGTAGAAACATCACCTGTTGGGAGCGAGGATGTGTCCCTTGTGAGCGTCGATCCATCCCCTGAAGTGAGCATGGATTCGTCCTCTGAGGTGAGCTTCGACTCGTCTCCGGAGGTAAGCATGGAACCGTTACCTGAGGCAAGCATGGACGTGTTTCACAAGGCTAGCATGGACACGATTCCTGAGGAAAGCTTAGAAACAATCCTGGAGGAGATCATAGAAGTGCCCGCCAAGGAAAGTGTGGAAGTAACCCCTGAGTCACGCCCTGAGGTGAGCGTGGAATCATCTTCCAAAGTGACAGTGAGAGACACTCCACAGGTTTGTTATTGTCAGGTGGTGTTTATAGACTAATCTTCTATTAAAATCTGTTTATTTTATTGTACAGATGATGTGATAGGTCAGGTTTCCCAATATAAACAACTTATGATTGATAGCATTCAGCAATAAAATTAATAAAATATGATAACTCACTTTAATGATTTAAATTTTTGATATTCCTTGTACCCATTTCCCCCGAAGCTAAAATACTAATTTTTAATAGACAGGAGAAGATGTAAGAGTTTATATGAACCGTGCTTGTAAACTCTGAAGAAAATTTTTTGGAGAAATATTGCAAATCCTTACTTAGGATTTAGAAATAGAATTAAGTTTTCAAGTAAAAAATTTCTGTTAAATTAATTATTTCTATAGCCTGCTTGAATTGTGTAGTAGGAGTTGTTAGTCTGTAATAACATATCTCTGTAGCTAATTCTTATGCATGTAAGGAAAATCAGAAGTTTTAAGGAGCTACAATTGTGTATTATTCAGAATATTTTTCTCTTGAAAAGCCAGCTGTATTAAGTTATTGCTAATAATTTCTTATCTAATTGTATTCATCTCTTCAGAAATCAAACTCCAACAGGAAGAGCGCATTGACACAGGCGCCATTTTCTAGATGGCCATCTTCTGCAAGCGAATGGTGTTCGCCCTATCCCTTCAGTGCTAAGTAAGTAGCGTATGCGCAGTTTTTCCTGATAGTGTTTTACCAGGATAAATTTTACATCAATGTTTCATAATTGAAATAATATAGTATATATGGTAAGGTAAATATAAAGAAAAAACCCTCTAATAGACAAAGGGTTTCCTTTGTCTATTATAAAATACTATGATCTCATAACGTATTTTATGAAATAATACAGTGAGAATTAATTGGCACATATAAATTACAAAAGCATATCAGATTTTCCCCATTAACTATTTTTTCTCAGTAGACAAATCCAAAAGAATCAGCCACCATCATTTTCACCAGTCGTGTCAAAGCAATCAGCACAACCTGCTCTTTCCTGTAAAGCCATTCCTGTTCAGCATGACATACATGCACCAAAGGTATTAGGTACCATCAGAAGGAAAAAAGAAGCAGTGTCTAAGACCACTGACAGCTCTGAGGCTGTGAGCCAAAAGCACATGACCTATGAAGGTAAGTTCTTTCACTGAGTTTATATTTTGGCATTGTAGAAAATGTTAAAATATGGGGAAGGTCAACTTTATTTTCCAATTCAGGCAACTTAGGGAGCCTGCTTTCTTTTAGATAAAGAGAATTCAACCAGTCGCTGGCACATTGCTTACTTTTTCTTGTCAGACTTTGTTTACCCTTAACCCGTGATTTGTTTTTGAAAAATCAGTTTTTGGAACTGATGTTTACAGTACTGGTTGGATGAACACATTGTCTAGGTGATCCTTGCAGTCCCTTCCAGCTCTGATAAAGCATGGTTTTAGGAATGGCTGAACAGGTTTCCATCAAGACCTATAGGTCAGTGGCTTTACCTAAGTTGTAACACATACGGGCAGTATGTGGGTTCCTGAAAGTATCATATTGATATTTTGCCTGTCACATGTGTTAATATGCAGGGATATTGCTTAATTTTATTTTTTTTAAAAATTTATTTTTCAGAGAGAGGGGAAGGGAGGGAGAAAGAGAGAGAAACATCAATGTGCGGTTGTATCTCATGTGCCCTCTACTTGGGGGGACGAGGCCTACAACCCAGGCATGTGCCCTGACTGGGAATCAAACCGGTGACCCATTGGTTCACAGGCCGGAATTCAATCCACTGAGCCACACCAGCCAGGGCGACTTTTGGTTTCTTTGGCTATCTGCAGTTACCCACTTTATGATCAACCAGATATCGTAATGAACAATTATGAATGGTTGGCTCAACAGTAATTATTTAGTGAAAGTGATGAACAAATTTTAAAATGTGTGCTGGATGTGTTTTTGTTTAGTCAAGTATTTAAGATTTGTACACTTCATTTAGACTGAATATTAGTTTGTTTTCCTCTGTATTCAGTATAAATCTCTTTTTCCCATAGGGTCAATTTAGTAAGGTATCTTAAAAGAGTTAAACCAAAGTAGGAGGGAAGAGTACATCATTTCATTTTAGAACAAGTACTTATTAAAAAGAAAAAAATGCTACTTCTTTTGTTGGGGAGTTGGGATTTTGAACATAATCTGTTACATAGCTACATATATATCACTTTTTATAAATTTTAGACCATGTATACATACTTTGTTTTTAATATTTGTTTTTAATGTTTTTGGTTGTCTTACACTACTTTTTGGATTGAGAGGCAGTAAGTTCCCTTCTCATGTTAATTTAAACTAGAGTCTGATAACAAAAGTACACAAGGGATTCTGAGTGCTGAGGAGGCAACACACATTTTGACAGCAAACCGAAATCTTGCTCGTGAACAGAGAGAAAAAGAAGAAAAACTACAAAAAGAAGTGGAACAAAGGTCAGCACAGTATTATCTTTTCTACGCTATCACTTTTGTCTGGGCCTAAAGTTAGAAAGTCAAAACTTACCCTCAAATTAGATGTATTACAAATTCTCAAGAGACTGATTGACTTTTTCTTCAATGTGAACCAGAAATAAGTGTGGGAAGCATGTCAAGCAGAGAGAGGACACTGGTGTGTAGATGAATGATATAGGCAGGCCCCTTTCACCCTCATGCATTGTTTCCCTTGAAGGTGTTCCATGGAGATGCATAAAGAAACTAAACATCCTGCAGGATCCCGGATCTCAGTGGTGGTACCTGAGTAATCACACAAGACCATTTCTGTTGGCATTCACTGGTGTCAGCTCCTGTCTTTTGTTTCAATATCTTTTGTAATTTTAGAATTTGTAAACGTGGAAAGTATACTTTTTCTGTGTTTTCCTAAAGGTGCTTTCCAGTGACCTTTGGGATACCTGAATCTCATCAGCCACTGCTGGAAGGATTCCCTGTGGGCAGCAAATCTCATGTATAGTTGTGTGCATTCTGACTCAATATGAAGCTTTCTTGATCCTCCACCTTGAGGCCCATTCTAGTTAGGACCTTGGAATGTAAACCTCTGTCCACTAGCTGGCTTTTTAAAATTTATTTTAGAGAGGGGATGGGAGGGAGAAAGAGAGGGAGAGAAACATCAATGTGTGGTTGCCTCTCACGCGCCCCCTACTGGGGACCTGGGGACCTGGCCCGCAACGCAGGCATGTGCCCTGACTGGGAATCGAATCTGTGACCCTTTGGTTCGCAGGCAGGTACTCAATCCACTGAGTCACACCAGCCAGGGCCTGAGGTTGCTTTTAAATATTAAGTGTTTTGTAAATATAATCACAGGCTTCCCATATACTTTATTTGGCCTCAGGAGAAAGGAGAAGGGGATATTCTGGATAGCAAAGAGCTATAATTTGAAGACAATTATTCATTGCCTCATGTGAACAGACCTGATTTAGCATTTTAAAAGCGCTAAATACTGGTCTTTGTGGACTGGGCTTTCTTCTGTGCACCACCAGACCTTCCTCTGAATTACCCCTATCTCACCCCCATGTGATAATTGGGTATGAGCATGTGTAAGTAGAGAGTCCCATGTGTCTAAAACAGTTAAGGAGGAGAGATAATCTCTCTTCTCTTTCCTCTGTCTCTCTTGTGTTTTAAGATGCAAAGTAGCCCACCACTCAGTGGAAATCTTCTACTCCCAAGGGCTAGTTTCCCCCATTTAAAAAGGGTGAAATTGTGCAAACCTTGTGGAATAACAACACAGAAAATGTGGGGAATCTGATATAAACATAAATTGCACTTACTGCAAGCTGTGTATGGTAGAGACCAAGACAAATACCAAGAGTAATTTAAATATTCTGTGTCATTAGGAAAAAGATAGATGTGGCAAAGAAAGAAGTTGAAGGCCAAGAAGTGTTCTCAAAATTTGGCAGTGGGCAACGACAAAAGAAAATAAAAAAGAAGAAGGGATGTCAGGATCAAGAAAAGCAGAAAGTGCTGTTACAGGTTTGCTGATTTTGTACTTTATCAGGGGATGAGAACTAGGTTATGAAATTCATTTGAAACCCAAATCAAAAATATGTTTCTTCAAGAAAGATGAGCAGATGCTGCCTTCTGTGGCTGCATTTTTACATTACAGTCTAGCAAGCTAATACCCTACATCACTGTCAGTCACTCTCAGCCACCCTTGGCAAAAATTCTAGAATGTTTATCAAGGGAAACAAAAGCAGAAAACAAATTACAGATTAGCAGTTTTTTAGTTTCACTATGTAAAAAATATTGCAGCTTGGTTTCAGGGAGTCCAAACCACTCACACAGATTACACATCCTAAGTGTATTTTCTCAAACCTGCATTCTGTGGTGAAACTCAAAACTGCACGCCACTTCCACCCAGCAGGTAAAGATAGAAATTATAAATACCTCTAAAAGTTTAAAGGCATCGGTTCACCAATAAGAATGTCTAACCCATGTAAATTCAGATCACCAGGTAAATAATTCCCCCAAACTGAGCTCAGTTTGAATAGCCTAATTTATATTCCACCTTCAGTGTATCATTTATCAAAATGTTACGTTACATAAATGATTGTGTGATTTGCATTCCTGGAGAAGGTACCTTTAAAAACCCTCTTGGTGCTTTTGAGAAGTGTGAGACTTGACTCCTGTCACTATACTTTGAAACTGTTAATGATAACCTGGAGGTCCTGGAGGCTACCAGCACGTGCCTTCTAAATCCTCAAGATAATAGTACCCTAGTTTTGTACATTTTAGCTAATCCTTTGAAAACTGATCATCCATATATGTCATGGACACTTTCAGTCAAAAGATTACATTCTTGTTATGATGGATCACAATTTTATTGTTTAAAATTTAAAACTAGTGTTGTCTGATGTCATTCAGATATGTTGAGATAAAAAATTTTTATACAAATTTCCTAGAAAGAGGACACCAAAGCAAAAGTTCAGGAGGAGGCCGACAAACGCAAGAAGGAGCAGGAAAAAATTATGTTACGGAATTTACAAGAAAGATTAGAAAGAAAGAAGGTAATCATTCTCTTCTTTCTCTTTTTGGTTTGGAGGTTTGACTCTTTGTTTAAAACAATGTTACACACATGATATCAAAACATGTTTTTGAAAATCACAAGTGATATGCCAGGCCCTGCTTGTTTTTACCACTCTACTCTCTTCTTTCTTATCCAAAGACCCGACTTCTCCTACCCAGCAGGGTCTCCTTTTATTGACCATATCTCTCTCTCAAGGACCATTGGTGGCCATTACAGCGATGCTTCAATATAGCAAACCTCTGGGAACAGAGCTCCTTTGCTCATTTACTCAGGTCATGGTAGGAGTTGGTAGAAATTAGGTTTTCTTCTAGCCTGGGCCAGAAGTTGCAGCAGCTGAGTGGGAAGAAGCAGAAAGTACAGATCTCTCTGAGAGGCCAAGGAGCAGGCGATTTGTATGGTAGGATCTCACATTGTGTAACTCATCGTGCCTCACCTGGGAGCAAGGAAGGGACCCGGTCCTGGCTGAGGTGCTGCAAGGCCTCTTGTCAGATCCGTCACCCTGAGGAGGCTAGAGAGCTCCATTTCTCACAAGGGAAATGTACACTGGGAAAAGAATGCTTATCTTTCCTATGTGTGTGCTCTTTCTAGTAACAAAAGCTCTGACCATTTTGCATCATTGAGGTACATTCTTTTCATTAACATCAGCCTCAGACATGGTCTGTTCAGACTAAAATTATGTTTAAAAATTCTAATTGTTTCGCAACAATATGATTAAGTAATGAATTTCAAAGTCTGAAAAATTAAAGAGTGAGGAATCATTTGGGTTTCTGTGTTAACCATAACAAGTACAGTTAATCACTGCTCAAGGTATTTTCTAGATGACTGAAACCTAGACTGGAAGAAGGAACTCAACTGCTGCCCAAGGTCTTGTGTCTGTTAAGTCTGTGGCTTTGGAGCAGTTGCTGATACGATCCAGTTCTGGGAAATGGAAATAATCAACTTCAGGACCACTGTTTTGTATTTAATGTTTTCGTGTTTGAAATTTTGTTTTTCTTTAGAGAATTGAGGAAATTATAAAGCGGACGAGAAAGACAAATTCCAATGCCTCAAAGGTAACTCTCCGTGCTCCTACCAGCAGTGTATAAAATTTCCTGTTGCTTCATGTTCTTTTTAAGTTTTGCCAATCTGGTGGTAATAAAACAAAGTATCACGTTGTATTTCCCTGATTATTAAAAAGGCTGAGCATGTTTTTCAGATCTTTAGTTAGTTTTCATGTTTTTTTTTTCTTGTGTTGAAATGCTTATTTAGGTATTTTACCCAGAACTTGGAGCTGATTTATCTTTTTTTTTCTTTTTTACTAATTTGAAGTTCTGTTAAATGTTCTAGATTATACTACTTCCTTGATTATATGTGTTGCAGATAGCTTCTCTCAGTTTATGGCTTTGTCTTTCTTTAACTCTGTCTTCATTTTCACATTGTTGAATTTATCAATATTTTTGATGACTAACAGAATTGGCAGCCTTTTCATATTCTTATTGACTGGTTTTGTGAAATGCCTTTTCAAGTCCTTGGCCCGTGTTTCTATTGGGTTGCCTGCCTTTTTGACTGATCAGTAGGAGTTTTTACCTGCTTTGGTTTTGAACCCTTTGTATATATGTATTGCAGGTATCAGCCCGTATGCTTTAGTTTGCCTAACCCTCTCATAATGTCCTGTGATGAACAGAAATTCATTTGAATGAACTTAAATTCAGGAGATTCTTCCTGTATGCTTACTGCTTTAGGGGGTCTGTCTCATAAGTATTTGCCGCAGTGTCCTCCTATCTTTTGATGGATCACATGCATTCAAGGCCTTTTTTCTCCAGAATATTTGCCCTTTACCTTCTGTGCTACAAAACTGATCTTGTGCGTGTTTATAATTGCCCAGTTATGATTATTCATACCATGAAAATTTAGAATAGAAATACCACTTCTGAAAAATTCTGGGAGACACCATCTCAAAGATCATTTAGCTTATTGGCCTGAGAAGTTTACCTTAAGCAGAAGCCAAGAACTTTTTTTTTAATTCACGAATTGGCCCTACCTTGCCTTAGTTCGGACTCAGTGGGAAGAGAGTGCATGCCAACCCAAAGCTCTTGTCCCTTGGCTGCCACTCAGGGAAGTCTTTCATTCTTGGGTGTCATTCCCTAGCTGAAAGACACAACTAGAGCCATCTGTCCTGTTTCCTGTAGACTCTTGGGGCCAAAGAGTAGATTTTACAAAACCTTCCAATTGAAATCTGTCGTCTTTGAAGTAACTAAGTCAGGATGATTGAATATTTAGATGTCACCTTGATTTCCTTTTTTCATCATAGGTTGCACAAACATCCCGCAGTGACATGTACGAGGAGCATGAGGCGGATGATGAGGATGAGTCCGAAAGTGATGATGTGGATTATTTTGATGACTTCCATCCACCAGGTTTGCAGGCCTTTTGAGTTTTGTTAGTCACTAAGAGCTAGACTGCCCAGGTTCATCCAGGGACTCCTCAACTTCTGACCTGTGTATATGACTGTGGGCAAGTTACTTAGTCTGTGTGTGTGCTCAGTGTTCCAGTGTGAAAAAAGGGGAAGCTATTGTCCTCCTAGGGTGGCCATGAGATTTCAGTGAGGTAATCTGTGTAATGGTAAGAGAATAGTGCCTGACACATAGTGAACTCTCAATCATTATTAGGTGCTGCTTCTGCAACTGTTAATATTTTATAGGCTGTGCTGTGAAAGACTGTAGATGGCAGCTCTTTCTTAGTTGAATGTGAGGCTTACTAGCATTTCATAGCTCAGGGCCTTCTGACCTATCCATGATTGACCACAGGTGGAATGCTACTTTCTACGTCATTGAAAAAAAATAAAGTCATGTGATTACGAGTGCCCTGTAAAATGTATCATTGATTTGCATATGAGTTAGGAACCACTTTATGGCAGCAATAATTGATATCTGAGAAAACACTCTTGGTCTACCCTTTATCCCAAAGTCAGGTCCTCTACTAGGTATAGGGATACAGAGATGAAGAAAGGGCCCTCATCCTTGAGGAACCATGGCCAGCAAGGAGGCAAGACACATAAGCAGTGAAACTGCCACAAGGTAGATACATTAAAAGAAGTTTCGCCAAAATGCAATAACATAACAGTAGGAGTAGGGTAGAGGTGTAGTGTCTGCCTTAGGGCACTGGAAGGGGTAGGAGGTAGCACTGGAGGTGAGACTGAAATAAGAGACAGAACTTGGCTAGGTGGGTAATCAAGAGAAGGGGTAAGAAATCTGGTGCAGTCCTGTCCTCTGGCATGCCATTCTTTCCTGCCAAGGGAGAGAGGGAAAGTTCCTTAAAGGTGGCCCCTTTGTGCTGTGAGGGCAGGGTGGACAGGTGTTTCGGAAAACAGGTAGACCATGGTTATGGAAAGTAGAGAAGCTCAGGGGCTGCTGGGCCTGCCTCTCCAGAGTACTGCCCAGGACACTTCCTGCCATCAGAGACGTCCCTTCCCAGCCCATCAGCATCACAGCCTTCATTCTTCTTGTCTTTGTTGCTGAAGCTCCAGTTTTGATCTTATTCCTTTCTTTCTAGCCTGTGTAAGTGGCCTGAGTTTGGCCACAAAACTCAAGGCAAATTTTAGAAATGTGAAGAACACACCCAGGCTGCTGTTTTTAGACATCAATTCTGACAAAGTCCATCCGAACATAAAAACATCTTTAAAAAGTGACACGAAAACCTTCAGACAGAAGGTGAAACGCCCTTTGGCTAAGGCCAAGGCCAAGGGTATCAGGTGAGTTACTCAGCGAGCTTATCAGAATGAAGTTGGTGGCATTGTGATCGACATATTTAGAATGATACATGAGATTATTGATTGAGCTCTTAGTTTGTACCAAGCACTTGTCTTACAGAAACAAACTAATACCCACAACAGTATTGCTAGGTGAGGATTATCATCCCCATCTTTATAGATGAGGAAACTGAGGCATGGAAAGATTATGGGCCTTACTTATGCAACATTCTGCTCTTCTAAGGAAGAGCCCAGATTCACACCCAGATATATCTGACTCCAAACTGTACTTTTGTTCACACTGGTTAATGTCTCATAAAATCAGGGAAGGGCATCATTGATTGAGTGACTGCTATGAGTTAGGAACCACTTTACCAGGCATTTTACATTACCTATTTTAATTCTCATTGCACCTCTGAGTTCCGTATTAATGACCTCATTTTACCTATGGGGAAACTGATGGCCAGAGGTTATGTCTGAAGAGTGGGGGCAGATTCTAAGAAAGAAAGGTGCTTTGGGTGATTACCTGAAAGACATTAACCTACAAGGTCCATTGAAATACTTTGCTAAGAGGCATAGTGATGGTGTGGAAAGAGCACTGGAGCTAGAAAACCCACATTAGTCTTTACTACACCTTACTGGCCATGTCCTGGGTCAGCTTGATGTAAGCACGGGGTTCCTGAAGCCTTCACACTTAACTCCTCTGAGTCCCTCAGCATATGCATGAAACCTAGGGCTTTGTAGGACACAATTTGAAAACCAGTGTGTTCTGTGATCTCCAGGGTCCCTTCCAGCCTTACCATTTTATCCTGAAAGGTCATTTACTTCCAAGGCATTAATTTCTTAAAAGTCACTTTAAGTTTGAAGCTTCCTTCAAGACAGAGCTCTGATTTGGGGATGATTAGGATTCTAACCAAAATATCTCCTTCCAGGCTATCCACCAAAAGAATGACCAACCAAGTAACAAAAACTGGAAAGGCTGGGGGAACCAGCAAAACTGTGGAACCACCCAGAAATTTACATTCAATGTCACAGGAATGTAGACGCGATGAAATACTCGATATTACCAGCGAGACCGAGCCACTTGTGTCTGATACCCTTCCTGATAGTCAAAAGCACCATCTGAAAGGTTCCACAACATCCCAGCAAAGTCCCCAGATACCTCTGGATGACAAAAACGGAAACAAATCTGATTCTGCTTCATCAGGTAAGGCTTTATCTCATCTTCACTTTTGTTTGCAAGGCAGGTAACCGTGAAAAGTTCTGCTTTCTGCTGTTCCAGGGCCATCTTGGCGCCATGTAACTTTGGAGGTGAGGGAGAAGGCAGGGGTGGGTTTAAAAGCTAATAAGCTGATGTTAAAGAGGTTTCCATCAAGTTAGTTTTTAGAGAATAAATGGCTTGATTCTAATTTTTATAATCTGCATTTTCTGTCAGATAATACAAAGTAGGTTCTTTCACACCCCAGATCCCTCCGATTCCTCTGAGCCTCTGATCCACTGGCTGTGCCTGACAGCATGCAGATTATCATTTAGGGCAGAGGGTTTGTGATGTCTGTGGAATTTTCCTGTCATCCTGTGTTCCTAAAACCAGAAGGCCTTTGGTTTTCTGTCCTTGAGAAACTCCCTTTGAAATTCACAGGCAGCATGGGCTCATTTGGGGGTTGTGGATATGGAGAACCTTTCTAAAAGCACCAGTGTGTCGGCATGTCCAAGGGGCTGTTGAGGGTCCTTGGCCCACCCCTAACAAAGGAAGTCCGCGGCCCAGTTGATATGAGACCAGCATCTTCTAATCTTTTCTTCTTCCCTCTGGTCAGATATGTAAACCTCGTGCAAGCCTGGGAGAGAATTTATCCTCCACTCTGGGGTTCAACTTCCAGGCCCGTCACCCAAAATTCCTCCGCTTCTGCCTTGAACCAGGCAAAGAAAATAACCATCCCAAATAAGGAAATAAGGAAAACACCAAAAGGTCATTTTAGCAGATCTCTGAAGATGCTCCCTCATGTCATCTTGACTCTTGAGTACAAGAAAGGGTTCTGAGTAAATAGTGTTTTGTCTCCGTTGTGTCTCCTGTTTTGCATTTTCCTGTTAACACATGTTTGAGTGTACATCAAAGGTGTTTTTATAAATAGTTGTTCTTGAACTTCTAAAAGGATCTCTACTGAAAGAATAATTTTCTGTCAGTACATATTCGAAATCCTAAAATAATGTTTATTCTGTTTAACAGTTATAGTAATTGAGCAGTGAAAAACTCCTGTTTGATCTTGTAGTGAACATAATGGGTTATGTGAGGGACTCAAGATTGCTCACAAGAGCTTTGTTGGATTAATTCCAATATACCAACACCAAAGGTTGCGAAATAGAGTAAAGCATATTTTACCTTTATGTATGTGTATTTATAACTATGCCAGCTAAGCACACAAGCACTGATGCTGGGAGTCCTAGGCAGCAAGATCTTAGAAAAATAAGCATATTCTATGCTCTTGTCAGTATTTTTTTTTGGAAGTACATATTGAGTTTTATCTACAGAAACATATTATTTTTATTGTGTACATAAGGCAGTATTTGGTTGTTGTCTGGTGGGGTTTGTTTAATTCCTCTTAATGTTTACTGTGTATAATCTTTTTCTGTTTGTGCCCTCCAGTCCTGCCCTTCAGTATACACTCTTGCTTGGGATATGGAACCAAAATTCACTTGCCTTTCTCTAGCCATTGGCTGCAAGTGAGTACAAGGGGCCATGTATTCAATCATTGTGATAGTTCGGCACACACACACACATACTTGTACACACACATGCATGCATACGTACAGGATATGTTTCTCAAAATGCATGGAATCCTGACTGAAACCATTGACTAAAACTTAAATGCAAACTAGTTGTCCTAATGCTAGTGAGTTTTCTGGTGAGTCACAAATAGTTCAAAGCAGGCCCATGTTCCTTTTCAGTCACCAGTCTTGGATTAGTAAAAGGAAGTAATTATTCTTCTTATTCTTCAGTTCTTTGGTATTCAGAGTACTATACCTTTGTTACAGATTAGAGCTTGGTGCCTTAGATTTAAAAAGTATTTTTATACACTAGTCCTGTTACGTAGAAGGCAGAGACAATCATCCTAAAACGTTATTTCTGATTATTTTTCTGCGTATCACATCTTAAAACACTGTTATACCTCCATATAAATGTGTGCTCTGTGAAATAAACTTTGCATATAAAGCCAAGTTTTGTTTTCATTATAGTAACACCAAATGTACTGGTGACAGCAGTTGTTAACCAAACCATGAACCCAAGCAATGGGCAAGTTCAATAAGTAGTAATCAAATCCTCTCGTGCTCCTCCTCTATAGCTAGTTGGTGATTCGGCAGAGTTCTGCTTGTGGGACTTTAAGATGCAAATTTTAAAACTCTGATCTTCCTGCACTTGTTTCAACGCTTGATACTCTTCCCTGTGATGGTTCTGGTTTACACTTGAGGCCAATGATTAAAGTGCCTTTCTTTTTGTTGTGATGAAATTCACATAAGTCGCCACTTAGTGACATTTAGTACATTCAGAGTGTTGTGCAGCTATCAGCACTATCTAGCTCCAGGACACTTTCATTACCCTACAAAGAAACCCCAGACCCACAGTCATTCCCCAGTCCTCCTCCCCTCGCCCTTTCAAACCTCATTTTTGGTGCTTGCCATGGATGAGGAAAACACATTTGCCTTTTAAAGTTTGAGTGTTGTGCTCAGGCAGTGATTGGACTGTTATATACCTAGCTCTTCATGAAATCACTGTGCATGGCACAATCAGTGTTCTGACCTGCTTATAAAGTTTCAATTTCCAATCTTGAAACATGTTCTACTCCAGTAGTTATTTTTGATAAAGTGAGATGCTGTTCACTGTCAGGCTTTGAGGTCTGGTGCTTATGAGAATGGTGGCAGCCATTCTCCACTTAGCATTATGTTCTGTTGGAGCTGTTGAACCAGGAAGTCCCCTGGTGTGCACATTACTTGAAACACTGTCAGAGCACCCTCTTTACAGCTGCAAAGTGAGGGACACTGACCTAGCTTCCCCCTCTTGCTTTGGGCTGGTGCTGTGGAACCTGTTAGGAGGCACAATGGTCATCTCCAGTTTCTCTTCCTATCTGGAGGGCCTCTTGGTGTCCTCTCCCTTGAGAAGCAGGTCCCTGGCCTTACCAGTGGATTCTGAGGATGAGCACATTTCTTCTGTGTCATGAATGTTGTGGAACAAAGCCTTTTAAAGGCTCCAGTCCCTGGAAACCACAGAAGTGTGCAGTATGGAATAATGCAAGGGACACTAGACAAGGATCTGACAAGCTGAACCTGAGTCACGGTGGCTGTGCCTGTGGCTGCTTACATTATGGACCTGCTGAGCCCTCTTGTCTAGCAAGTGAGGGCAGCTACACTACGATCTCTAAGGACACTTTCATTCTCATTTTAAGGAGTCAACTCATTGTGGCAAGAGCCAGAGGATTGGGACTAATAAAACGGTAGCTAGTGTCAAGAAGCAAAAACTTGGAGGCAGACTGTCACATTTTATCAGGGGTCAATTCCCTGTGTCCCCCAGGCCTGGATTGTTGAAACAGGCCTCAGTCTGTGGTCTCCACCAATCTAATTCAGTGTTTCCAGAAAGGTGTCTAATAACTTTCTCAACAATGTTATAATGACTCTAGTTAAGTTTGCATGTAGTATATGCCAGGTACTTGATAGGCATCACGTTAACCCCTCACAACAATCCTATGAGGTGTGTATTCATTTTTGCCTAGAAGGACACTGAAATTTGTGGAGGTTGGTATTTGTTCAAGGTCCCTCAACTAGAAAAAGACAGCTGCTTCAAACCCAAGTCTAATTGTAAAGCCAGCACCCCATACTGCTTAGGGACTTGGAGCAGTGTCCTGTGACTTGCATGGTAGTTCATATACTTTATTTGCTGATGGAGATGAAATACAGTCATACCTCAGTACTCATCAGCCTCAGAACTTGTCAGACCCTATACTCATCGCATTTTGACGAGGAAAAAATGTTTCAAGATTGCACTTGATAGAACTTGTATGATTCACGATGCTGCCCCACAGGAAAAAAACCACTTCATTTGGTACTCGTCGGTTTCAGCATTTGTCATGAATTCTGGAATGAATTAACAAGTACAGAGGTACCACTGTAATTGCTAGAGTTTACTGAGTGCTTTTATTGGGTGTCATTCACCCTGCTAAGCACTTGTGTTATTCTGAAAACTGCATGTGATTCTGTAATGTAGGAATTTTTTTAAAAGACTTTATTTTTAGAGGGGAAGGGGGAGGGAAGAGAGAGGGAGAGAAACATCAGTATGTGGTTGCGTCTCAGGCGCCCCCTATATGTCCAGACTGGGAATTGAACCAGTGATCTTGTGGTTTGCAGGCCAACACTCAAGCCATTCAGACATGACAGCCAGCCAGGACCAATGTAGGAATTCTAAGTCTCATTTTATAGGCAAGGAGAAAAGCTCAGGGAGGTTAAATAATTGGCCCAAGGGCTTGTAACCAGAAAACAAGGCAGCCAGGATTTGAACCTGGCAATTGGGCTCCAGAACCCACTATGTTAACCACAAGTAGATACGTTCTAGATATCCTGTTCCCCTTAATTTTGAGGGAGAAAAGGTTTTTCTGCAGAAAACTTGGTAACTAAAATTTCCCCTCTTTCCTCCTAACGGTTGTCACTCAAAATTAAGTACTGAGCAGTGAGCATGATAGTTTCTTCATTGTGATGTGCCAGACATGTCCCTGCCTTAAGGGAGCTCACCGTTTCTATGGCAATGCAGTGTCAATAAGGGATAGGCCACAGGTTTGTCCAAGGGGGTGATTTGTGACATACTAGCTGCGTAACCTTAGGCAAATCTCATAACCTCTCTGAACTTTTCTCATCTAGAAGATGAGGGGAGGGCAAGAGTCCCAGTGTTGGCTGTGCAAGTTCACTATAATGTGTATGAGGAACTTAATTCTAAAGATGCTCAAGTGTTAAGGTGGCATCCTGTGGCAGGCAACAGCCAGAGGCTGACTCCCATGGGTCTGTTTCCCTTGTGAGGAAAGTGGTGGAAGTGTTTTAGGAATATGGAGAAAGAGGTGGAGTGGTGATAACAGGGTTGAAGGCCAGCAGTTCATGAAATGCTGGTCGCTGCAGTCTGTAACTGTGTGGCTTTTTCTCGTCAGAGCGCGCTCTGGCCCCGGGCTGGGCTGGGGTTTTGCAGGCCAACTGAAAAAGGTAGGCAAAAGTGTTTAACATGATTGAGGGGGGAATAAGAATAAGTGATAGACCATAGGATCTAGGGAAGTAGGAGGAAAGTAAGGGCTGGGAGGGGCTGAGAGAAGAACCTGGAGCAGCCAGTGAACTGGAAGGCAAAGAAAAAAGCTCAGAGTAAGGATCAGGAAGGGAAGAATGCATGGTTAGAAAACATGTGCGATTGGATGCTGCAAAAGTTGAGAGTTTGCTGAAGTGCAGCAAGCAGAGGAGGAGGGCACTGGAGATGTCATGGTCTCAGCCAACGGAGAGCATGCAAACCAGTGTCCATCTTCAGTGAATGGGGGAGGGAGGGTTGTCCCTCTCTATCCAAGGCTTGTCCCCTCTGGGCTCCATCCCTTGCCTTGGAGAGCAGATAAGACTCTTGTTTTAAGGGTTGCTCTTTTTTTTTCTTTCAGGAAAACACAGGGGATGTTCCCCATTCATAAAAATGCTCATGGCTTCTGACAGGTCCTGATTCCCTTCGAACACATTAAGTATTAGAACCCAAGGGCCTCTGCCCTTTGCTTTTATTTCCCTGGGCCTGAGGCTGATCAAAGCCTACTGCCCTCTCCTCCCCACTCTGTCTTTAGCTGAAATGTAGTTTGACTAGGGGACCTAATGGCCTGGTGACCCTTCCATCATGTGGGAGAGTGCAGCAGACACTTGTTTCACTGCAATGTGAACTCACTACCCTGTAATGACCATATAGGGGGCGGGTAGGTTGAATGGTTTGAGACATGAGCACCAGAGAGGTGGGTAGCAATGATCTAGAAGCTGCAACCTCTGCTTCCACCCGTAACTGAAGTCCTTGGACCCAAATGAGCAGCCTCCCAAATGCACATTGTCCACAAGGGGGAGTGAGAGTCCTGAAGGCCCTACAGTGGAGGGCGGCAGTTGGCACCGGTGTCCAACAGGGGTCTGGGGCTCTAGAGGGCACAGGGAAAGGGTAGCCAGCAAAATAGGGATAGTGATTTCTCAGTGGCATGCTTCAGCCATAATTCCCTTTCCGCCCCCATCCCTCTGGCCAAAGACAATAAATCTGCCCCCTTTAAGGGGTGAGAACATCAGGGAAATGCTATTTTTGGTCAGAATGGGTTTTTGTTGTTTTTAATTGGATCTAAGTGCTGTTATAGGTTTGTTTGTAATTTCTGTGTCCTATGCAACTGTACTGGACTACGTCCTCAAAGGAAGGAAAAAAGTCATTCAGGTTTGTGCATCAGTAGTATCATCTTAGAGCAATTCCACTGGGCAGAATGAAAAGACAGGAGGCAAGTTATTTATATACTGCTTTATTTCTGTAAGGATACACTGAAACGTTAGATAATAATAGCTAATGACAAAATTTAGAAATGAGGCATTGGCTTCTCTAACCACTGCTATGAGAATGTTAATATGTATTGTCATTACATGTTCACTTTTGATACCGTCTCATTCTACTATGTAATATAACAATGTAGCTAGAATACAGTAAGTAGGTGATCCTGCCTCTCAAGTAAGCACTACATGGAAATCTGCCTGGGAGGATGGTGACCTCCTCACTTCCCCAGAGACCCAGCTAAGCTCGTCAGGAACAGTCCTAAAAGTCACAAGAGAAGGGACGTTGGTGGGCCTCCTTAACACAGAGACAAAGAGCAGACAACAACTATGTTACAAGGGTTTCAACTCGGCACTGTTGGAAATGTCATATCCGTGTGTCAATGACAGTCCCTGTGCCTGCTCAGCTACCCCTCTAGAGTTTTGTGATTACTTCTGTGGGATGATTTCAAAACTGCAGGAACGTTTGAGCGGGCTAAAATATTTTCATGCAAGTCTCCAAACCCATAAACTATATTGCTATTAATATTAAAACGAAATATTATTAAAAACAGAAAAACGACAGGTGGGTTATTTTTGTTAAGCTTTCAGCAGTATTCACGGTGACGATGTTCCTCTGAAACAGGCTTGTTTTCTCAAATCTGCCTACACTTTCCAAATCACCGGCATGTTCCACGCTTGACAATAGGAACGTTCAGAAAACACGGCACACGGGGAACTCAAATATTAGTATGGGTAAAAGGTCAGTTTAGAATCACAGCGAAGTTCAAATGTTAATTTTCTAGAAATTTGTATTAGTCGATCAAAAGCACAAAAGAACAGAAGGAAGGTTTTGATGAGGAAGTTAAACCATGCATGTCAGTAAGTTCTCTTTCTGCTCACAGAACAGAGTGAGCAGCGAGTTGGAGCAGCCGCTGCAACTCTTGTGTCGTGTGATGACAGTGGGTCCCAGCTGAGTCACGAAGGGCACCTCAGTGGGAGCTTTATCTCTTAGGCTTCTTGCTTACATCACTAAGCAGCTAAATGGTTAGCACTTTTCTGCTCTATGATAAACATGCAGAAGAGTCAATCTATCTAAGTGTTCGTTTTTTAACTGCAGCCATCACAAAATTACCTTTGCTGAGGAGTTACTTTTTGCTAAATCCTAGTATGATCACTGTGTGCCCTTATTAGAGTAATACTGTAAAATGGGAGAAAAGACAGAAGGAAAAACTTTGAAGAAGTGAAAGGCCACTCTTTCCCTATGGATGGTGTAGGGCAGAGGGTGAGGACACAAAGAACAAGATTCAATTCCATTTTACAGGACAGGAGCCCCTGTCACTTTACAGCTTTTTGGCACAGTCAGGGCAATACACTTGTTCCTGATGGAAAACAAAGCGCTTGTTGGCCAAATTCACGGAGCACTTTTTGCAGTGGAAGCAGTAGTCGTGCCAGGATTGTCCTTCATAGGCCACCACACTGGAGCCTTTACCAAACCCTGTGGAAAACATAAGAGAGAACAGAAGAGATAGCTCAGTGAATACAGGTGAGAGATACACTGCTGCCTTGCCCATTTACACAGCCAACAAGCACGCAGGGGCAGCATCTGCCCGGCCCCCAGGCCACCCCTCTCCACCACGATCTGTCCCCCACACCATGCCACTGTGACCGTGCTACAGCTCTCAAGGACCTGAGAAGATGCCAGAGCTCAGCCAAGGGCTTCTCTGATTTAAAGAACCCACATTCCCATGCCACTGCAATCGCCCTGTGACGCTTGCACCAACCTCCCAGCATAACCAGTTTCTTTGATTTAGGTCAGGGCCATGGCATCAAAGTGGCCACCAGGAGGCAAACTTGGGCTGTTCGTGGGGTGTGCACTTACCGGGCCTCGAGGAGCTGCTAAGCTTCGATTTTTTCTATAAAGAACCACCACCCACGAGGGACAAGTCCTCTCTCCACCCGGATGCCTGCCCCGGAGGTTGGCGCTGGGAAACAGGGTGAGAGGCAAGCGTTTCCCGTGGCACACTGGGGGCTTCCTAGCTTTAGAGACTGGGTGGCTCACTCTTGACACAGTCCTTTTCCCTGAGGATGGCAAAAGTCTTCTCAAATGTACATTTCAAGGCTCCCCGGGGAGATGGGAACGGTGGAGGCGGGGAAAAGGGCCCAGGGCACGTGGATCGCGGCGCGAGATGAGGAATGAAGTGATTAGCTCGGCTTCTGATCGCAACACAGCTGCCCACAGGCACCTCTGAGCTAGCCTTCAACTATGGGATGTTATAATCCCAGCCTATAGCTCTTCAGCCTCCCTCCCCGCCCCCTGGCCTCTACCCAGCTTCACCCCATTCTCCCCCTCCCCCACAGAGTCCCACGTGCAGTGCCTGCCCGTGGCGTGGGCGTGGGTCTCAGGCTCGTGAACTCCGCAGCACAGCATCTTTAGTCAGCAGCAGTCTGGAAATGTTCTGTATTGCAAAGGCTAACCTGGCCTGGGGGAGAATTCAAACTCTTAAAACTCTTCGGGACCACAATGGCAAGGGGAGGGGGCATTCTTTGGGGCCTTTGTGGATGAAACCGACGAAGCAGGAAAATGAGAGATGGTTACCATGCGCAAAACCTAGCCTGGCCGACTTAGCAAGGACTCTTTAGCCTACCAGTGATGGGGTTCTTGCATCCAGCACACTTCTTGGCCACAAAGTTCTTGTAGCAATCCACGCAGTAATACTGGTCCTCCACAGCGGTGAAACGCTGCCCAGCCAGCTTCTTAGAGCAGGTAACACACACAAAGCACTCGGCATGCCAGGGCTGATCCTGGTAAGTGATTCCTCCAGATGTGATGGCCTAGACCAGGGAGTGTAGCACCGGATTCAGATTCAACAACCATTTTGTTGAATGCCTACTATGTGCCAGGCACTGTGCTGGGCGCTTTGGTCTACAGTATCTCATTTAATCGCCACAATGGCCATGGGAGGCAGGTGCTATTATTATCCTCGAGTTACAAATGAAGATACCGAGGCTCAGAGAAGACGAGCCCCTTTGCAACATTACACAGCACCAAGGTGGTGGAGGCAGGGCCTCTAGAGCCAGGGCCAGCTGTGCCTCCGAGGGGAGCGCCTTTCGGGGCAGCGTGAGTCAGCCCAGGCACTGCTTTCTACAACCAGTCTCCTCATCTGTAAAATGAGCATAATAATTCCCACGTCACAGGGCCATCGTGGGGATGGAATGGGATAATGTGTGTGCAAGTGCTCTGCCAACTGTCAAACGCTTCTAGAAACAACAGTCCACGCAGAACTCCCTGGACAACATACCTTGTTGCACTTCACGCAATGCTTGGCAAATTTGTCCTCATGGCAAGTCACGCAGTAGAAGTCCTCCCCTTTGGGGAAGAAGCTTCCAGTCCCGATGACTTGCTTGCAGTTGCTGCAGGTGAAACAGTCTTTGTGCCAGACAGTCTTCTTGTACTCCACGTTCTGATCTCCTGCGGGGGGGAAGCGATTGGATAGCCCCACTGACAGTGCTCTGCAGGGGGCTGCATCCACTCAGCTCCCACCCTAGGCCCTCCAGAGGTGAGGGAATGCAGGCCCTGCAGTTACTGGCCTCACGCTTCTGATGAGCCTACCCACTGGGGCGGGGGAGGTTCTTGACAGTGGCCTACCTGTCAGTGTGCCAACCCAAATCTGTTGGGAGGGGACCCCATCTATAATGTTTGAGGAGGAGATGCCTGAGTCCCCACTCCCACACCCTTTGTGAACTCAGAGATTCCATAGGGGACTGGCTGACCCAGAGTTATACCCTAAGGAAGAGGCATGCTTCGATCACTTACTCTACCCAAATGAGAAAGTGCTACATACTTTTTCACTTCCTTCTCTTGCCACAGACAGTTCTCTTCAGTGGTCTTTAGTTTCCAAATGTGTGCGTGTGTGCGAGCATATATGTGTACGCATGTATACATGTATATATATGCGTGCATATATATGCTAAAAGCTAAGAGCGGCTCACAGCAGCATTAGCCCCATCGTCCCGAGCAGCCCCACATCATCTCTGCCCAGAGGCCTCCTCCCTGGCCACCCCGGGGGTGAGTGTGAGCAGTACCTGCCACAATTGGCTTGAAGCAGCCCTTGCACTTGGGGGAGTCCTCGCGTGTGGTGCACTTGTTGCACAGGATCTTGTTGTCCTTGGATACAAAAGTCTCGTTTGCCAAGGGGTGCAGGCACTTGGCACAGTGGAAGCAGGTGTCATGCCAATAGCGGTTCTTATAGTGCACCTCCTGGAAACCAAGCAGAAGGGGATGGGTTGCTGTGAGTGACGTGGGGGCACTGAGAGTACAGGGCTGACTCCTGAGATGACACCACTTCTTACACCTGGGGATGCCCTGAGGTGAATGTTCTAGCGAGTAACATGAAGGAAGACTCACAATTCCTGAAACAAGAGTAAAAGTACAACCAACCGAGCTGGCATGGGCCTTGGCACCAGCCAGTTCAAGTTGCACAGAGACAGCTCAGGACAGTCAAGACAACAAGCGCTAGAAGTAAGGGTGTCTATGGGTCCTGGGCCAGGGCCTCCACGTTTCCTTGTCTCCAGGCCACTGCCCATCCTGCCTGACACTTGGGTGGCTGCAGCAATGAGGAAGACTCAGGAGAGAATGAGCTTTTGTTGTGTTGGCCACAGAAAAACCATGCAGGGACCACTGTTACCTTGGAGTCCGCACCAATGGGCTTGCGGCATTCCACGCAGGTGTTGGCGCAGAACTTATCAAAGCACTTCAGGCAGCAGTGGTGGCCATCCTTCTCCACGTACTTCTTTCCCTGCAGGGGGTCCCTGCAGTAGTGGCAGTCGAACTTCTCAGCCATGGTGCCCACCTTGTACCTGGAGGGACCTATGGAGGCAAGCAGGCAGAACAAATGACCAATGGAAAGACCAGCGTGCTCCACCACAGAGGCTTCCAGGGGATAGCTGTGCCAAGGCAACAGATACTTCACTAAGGCTCCTGGGAAGAAAGAGCCCCTAAGGGTAGTTCCCCAGGGACCAGAAGGCCAATGGCCAGTGAAGTCCCTGGGGACTTGGGAGAAACCCCTGCTGGGTTATCTCACTGTGCTGCTCCACAGGCCACTGAGGCGGACAAGTGGATCAGAGCTTGTGTTGCTCTGACAGGGTCTCTGGGCGGTTCGGTGGCTCTGAGCTGTGATGTGAAGGAATGCAGGGGTGTGATGGAGCAGGCAAGAGAGAAGGAGTTGTTTTACACAAAGGGACACACAGCTATGGGCACAGTCTGCATGCGGCAGCTGCTTGGGTAGAGATGCTGGGCCTAGTCACAGGCTGGCTGCCTCAGACAGCTTGTGGAGGAGGAAAGTGCCCAGACCCTCTGTTTTCAGGACTGCGTTCTAGACAGTGAGCCAGAAACGTCCCTGCCAGCTTCCAGTTCCTCCTCTGTAACTTCTTGGGGGGCGCAGGGTGGGGGCAGGAATAGCATCCTCCGGAAGCCTCACTTTCCTCCTGTCTGTAAAATTCAGTTCATCTGAACAAAGACTTACAAGGACTTACTGCTGACTCCAGACAACATGAGGCATACAAGCAATCCATATTAATTTGCTTAAAATGTCTGCATTTACTTTAAATCTGGCAGAACCCTTTTATATCCCTGAATGGATCCTAAGGAGTTTTGTCCAAGGTAGTTTACTGACTTCTGAGACCTGGGCAATCAAGCAAGAGAGGATTGATTAAAGTGGCATTCTCAATTGGAGCTGGCGAGTTTTGCAACTGTGAATGACTTGTTGTAGTGACGTGTTGCTTTGTGATGGACCAAAATTAAATCCCCCCTTTGTTCAAGCAAATGAGGCTAGATAGAATCAATGAATTGTTACTATTTAGGACATTTGCTGTTGGAAAAATTGTAATTTTAAAGTAAAATCTCAGGGGGAGTAACTTATAAAAAGTGTTAAGCTGATTATTCCAAGAACCTTTCCCACTGCCTTCATATGAACAAGGCCCCTTGTCCCCATCCTGAACCCCACACACCCCCGACCCCTGACCACCTGCCTACAATTACAAGCATTGCTAAGGCACTCTGTTAATCCTGTCACCAAAAAAGATACTAAATGCCAGTACCTGTAAACTCTCAACTTCTTAAACATTTGCTAACTTGTTCCTCTCTCCCTGGAAAAGAAACTTACATGGGCAAATAAATAGCAAATATCTAATTTGCTCAGAAAACACGAGAATGGAGACTATTTTCTCCAACTTCCACAAACATGGTTATTATGCTAGCAGACATCCTCAGCGTAATTTAGAAAGAATGAGGGAAAAGCAATGAGCAGTTGCCCGGTACTCACCACAGCTCTTCCACTAACTGAACGGCCCCAAACTCCCACTTTGGGTCCCATTCCCAGTGTTTTTTTTTTATACAAACACATGTCCAACTTGTTTGGATCTTGTTGCCACAGGCAACCAAATAGCAGTGTGTGAGCTAAGGAAACCGCACCCTGTGTCTCAGACCCTACTAAGGCTGGTGAAGTGTCATTCAGAACTGGGTCAGTTTCTCAAGCCAGCCCCCCAAAACAGGGAATCAGACCACCTACAAACATCATGTTCTGGGCCAGCCCAGCTCCAGTTTGTGCCGGCACACAGACAGACCCTCTCATTTCCACAGAACTGATGACTGAAGCAAGTGACATTCTTGGGCAAATGTAATTGACCCGGACAGTTGTATCAGTTCTGAGTTTAACCAGACCAGATAATGGTTCTTACTAGCACTTTTCCCCAAAAAGAAAAGCAAGATGTTCCCTTATATAATTGGATTCGAAATGAAAAGAGACATGGTGAAACCAGAGTCTATCTCCTTGAACTCTGCAGTTTAGATAGGGCAGCTTTTAAACTACCTTTAGTCTCTGCATGTGGAAAAATGTGCCTGTCACAGAGATAGCAAGTTGAAAATAACTCTTTTTAACTCATTTTTGCTGTTCTTTCACATGTCACATAAAATCTTTGTCTTACTGGCTTTTCCATATTGAAATTGTGAACTCAACAAAGATTTACTTTCTTGTTAAGAGCTGAGTACAAAAACCAAATAAATCTTCAGTAACAGTAAATCCTAGGAAATGAAATTATCAGTGGCTCCTAAATGCCATTTGGCCGGAAATCAGAATCTATAAGATTAGACAACATTGGCTAGTAACGTCAGCTGGTTTAGCCCTTCAGAGACTATTGTCTTGGACATTTGAAAATCCCTCCTCCTTTACCAAGGTGTCTATTTATAGAATAAAATCTTGAATGCTACTCATTTTAAAATCTTCTAGGCATCCAGATAATGAAGTAATCCATGGCTCACCAATGAACATGGAAGTACCAGACTGTGTTGAATGTGGAATCACAATCAATGAAGCTGCTCAGCACTTTATTATTCTTGTAATACAGGGTCTTAAACCAAGCAAAAGGAAAATTAAACGAGTCCACCCCAAGTTAATGATGTTTGGGGGTGCTACCTTTAGGCATTATTGTTTTTTTTACTTCCTGCTGTGTGAAAAATCCAGGGTCATACTTTTAGAACTGATTTCCACAGTGCACTCAAGCCTTTATGTGTGTGGAAACACTTATTTGTCAAGATAAATAGGCACTTCCAGGAATGCTGGCTTTACTGCCTAATAAGTAAGCAGACTGGAAATACTTAAAGCATGTAAACAATGTCGATGGCAAATTCATGAACTTTAGCACTCTTTTGCAATAAATCCAATTAAGTGGGACTTTGGGCAACCTGAATTAGCTTATCTCGTGTTTTTCTAACCTTATAATTATTTGGTCCCAAACTATTTCAAACCGAGCAGTGTGCTTAGGAGGAAGCTGGAGTAATACATTCCCACTGATGGTATAGTTACCATGTCAAAACTTTGCATAAAATATGAACAATGGGCATGAGAGCAAAATATTTGGTTAGCTACTTAGCTTCAAAGAGCTTAATAATTCTAAGAAAACAGCTTTTAAATGACAATGCTGAGAGCTTCTGAAAAGACAGCAAATGCCCTGATTTGTAGGTCCACCAAAATGAGCCATAGTTAAGCACTGACTTCATGATAAGAAAAAAGCTTTGCACTTTCCTGTCTTTCCCTTTGTTGGAAACAAAAATAGAGAAAGATGATTGTAGCATTTATCTTTTCTTTGGGGCTCTCTTTAATCTTAATGAATGACAGACATACACTTTAGGTGTTTATCTCTTAGGTATTATTTTTTATCCCTTTAGTAATTTCTAAGTACATGAACTCTGAAGCCTTTTAACCTTTCAAAAGTTCCAGATCTGTTTGCCTTGACCTGTTGCTGTTATCTGGGAAAGGGCATGACATCAATCATTAAACGAAACTTGGATACATATAACTACATCACTGCTTCCCTTCCTGCCTGTCTCTGACCTAGGGCAGCTCTCTAATTTTAACCTCACAGTGCCGCCCTCATCTGGATGTGGCCATAAGGTTTCTCTATCACAGAAAAGTTTGCCAATACATGAGGAGCCCCAGGGACCTAATTCTGGGCCTTGTATACACGGGTCACACAGTAGATGCCTATTGACTGACAGATGGAGATAAATCACTACCATTAAGTTTCTGAAACCTCTTTCATTAAAAGCATTTTTGAACAAAGATTTCTGTTTTAGAAGATCAGGGGAGAGCTCCTGGGATCTTAAGGTGCTGGCATCTAACCTACAGTCCTTTATACACTTAGCAGGTTAGAATGCTGTTGGAAATGTGACTGGGTGATCAAGTTTTTGATATTTATTCCAAAGTGGTAGCCTGATTTTCATGCTATGCCTGCTTCAAAAGACACATCATTCTTCACCTAAAAAAGAAGCTTCCTCTTTCAGAAAATTCCTGAACTACATCCAGTATGCTACAAGGTGCCTACATAAAGCTCAGTATCTCAATAAGAAGTCTTGGCTTTTGATTTATTCATGAATCATACACATATTGGAGTAATATAACATTGCAACTTTTTTTTTACTATAAACCTCTCAGTAGAGAAGATTCCATTTGTATTTAACAATCTTCCTTGTGTTCTTATATGTATTTTCTCACATATTTCATGCTAATGTTCATTTTCCCCCATGCCTAAGTGGCTCAACATAAGAATATTTAAGGAAAAAGTGAATGTTATAACTAGGTTGCATTTTCCTAACTATGTGTTTTCCCTGACTGGTACAATATAGAGTGTAAACAATGAACAGCAACCCAAATGGAAAAAAAAGTTCAGGTTATTTCTGGTCTGTTAATTGCTAAGTCCAACACACCAGTATGTTAGTCACTCTGTATATAAATATTGGCTTCAAAAGAGAAAGGGTATATTGCTTTCCTAAGAACATTCAATAAATGGAACGAAGCCTTAGCCAATGAATAGGACACTTGTGTAATAGACATGCTCATGCACCTGGAGGTGTTGTCAGATATTTGGGAATAAATATCTAAGTAGCTGGAATGAGACAAAGTTCATGAGTCATGGCTGAAAAGTAGTCTTTCATAGAATTTCATAGAAAATCAGAAAGTGTTTTCTTCCCTTAAAAACAGAACATTTGCAGAATGATTCAATGCTATTAGCAACCTCACTTGTATACTGCACTTAGGGGGAAAAAAACATATAAATTTCTTTTGAATCACCAATAGACAGGTAACACAACTTAGATTATATCTGGTATCAGGAGGGTTGGATAGAGATAATTAAACAAAACAATTGCATGCCATTGAACTACCACCAGGACCAGATTCTATTCTAGTGCTATTTTGTCCATAGTTGAAGCTTTTCTTAATGTTGTACAGCACATTGTCTTCCCTATAGGAAAAAAGTGCTTCCAACCCACCAACAACAGTGCATGGGTTTTCGGTTTCTCTAGTTGTGGTGAAGTAGCAGGCAGGCAGTCATTTGGTGGTCATTAAATGTGCAGCACATTGTCTTCCCTATAGGAAAAAAGTGCTTCCAACCCACCAACAACAGTGCATGGGTTTTCGGTTTCTCTAGTTGTGGTGAAGTAGCAGGCAGGCAGTCATTTGGTGGTCATTAAAAGTAGAAAACATTTTACTTCACCCTCAACCAAATCTTCTGACTACTATTTTTCAGTTATTTTAAGAAGGCAACCCAGTTTGATTACTCCCTCTCACCCAACCTTTTCATTTTGCATCCCTGCCCTGAGAATAAAGTGCTGGGTCGGGGGTGGACCCACTGGGCAGTTGCTGGTGATGGGAATTAATGGCTGTAGAACACGGCGAATGACCTTAGTTCCCTCCCACCCATGTCCCAACTCTGGTCCTCAACTGGAAAGGCCAAAGGGTAAAGGATTTCAATCTATATAATTTCATAGACTGTAAGTGTTCAATAACGAAAGTATACATTCTTGTCCTTGGAATGTCCCCTCAGTATGTGGATGATCCCTAAAAATGGATTCAGATCCAATTCTGTCCTCACAAAGCCCATTTCAGGGCAATGTGGATTTTTCTTCCATGAGGATGTGTCTTTCGTCTGCTTTCATGGACCGATGAACCCAATGCAATACAAAATGGTAATTCCTGATTTAAAAACTCTTCTAAAAGGTGTCTATTAATTTGTCTAATTTAGTCACAGTTATAGCCTCCAGATTTATATAAGCAAGAATAAAGTCAGGATTGGGTGCAATTTAAAATCCAAGTTTGGGTGTGTTATAATTATGTCACTTTTAAAATACAGTATGTACCTATTTTGTCACTTAACTAGTAAATAAAATGGGGAGTTACTCTACCAGTTAACATGAATTCAAGGTCCATTGGAACAACTGGTACAGCTGAATAGTTTGCCTTCACCCAGAGAATGTGTATGTTGGCCGATTAGCACAATCTCAGGCATGTGGTGCCATGTTTGTAAAATGGATCATGGGGAGTAGGGGAAAAACAAACAGCTCTTCAGCTCTTGAACAAGGAAGACATTGCGTATTAATTCATTAAAGCAGGGAATTCCATCGGAGCACTTTTTTTTTTAAACACCAAAGGAGACATTTCTAAAAAGTATCACCATTGTTTCAATATCGACAGACAATCACAAGTTTTCAGAAGTAATTTTTCTAAAAGACTGCCACTGATGATTACTTTGTCCCTTAATCTGAAAACTGGAAAAGACGACAAAGTGCCTGGTTTCTAAGGAAGGGAACCATTACTTAGGCAGAGGGCAACAAAGCAACAACGACATTCCTGGCTTCAGAGGAGAGACAGGCAGCAGGCTGACTAGAGTGAACCAGGCAGTCTGGGGAGACTGCCTGTCCTTTAGTTCCTTGACCTCTATTCCTCCATGTCTTGCCCATTGACAAAGTGCTTTCTTAACATCAGGTTACAAAACAAGAGGAAGACTCCTGTGCTAATGACAGTAGAGGTTCTGAAATTCAGCCCCCTTTTCAATTAAATAGAACCTAAGTGTGATATCAAAAGGATCATAGCTGTTCCTTTAGGAGGATTAAAAATGTTGTTTAGAAAAAGGGAAGATATGTTATGGTAAGTCATTATGGACTTCCTCAGTTATAAATATTCCTCCTTCCAGCTCAAAAAAAACCCCCTTCTTTCCTCACATAATTTCTTACAGTTTCATAAGATGTCCTGAAAAATATACAATATAGTAAAATGTTTATAACTTAAAAAATAAGATACTCAAACTGCTTATTTTACTCTAGTAAGAATAATCTTTCGTCTTTGAAACAGCATTAGAAGGCAAGGAGAGAAGAGAGATGAACTACTACATTATATTTACTATTTAGATAATACTAAATCCACTTAATAAAAAAGTATCTTTTAGACAAATGATGGATCCACTTTCCTAACAAACTTCTTCTCAATAGAAGATAAAGAATATGAAGCATTTACCTGAGTGTCTTTGGGAAGCCATGGCTCAGACACCAAGTTCAGGAGCAGCACCTAGACAAGTCCTCCCTGGACCCCAGCTGATAAGGCTGTGGCTCATTTGTGAACATACATTTAAGGGGAAGCAGCTAACACAAAAATAACCGAGAGCAGATGGCCCACCCCTCCCCAGAGATCACAACCTTAATCCCACTAGGAAATTCTTAACCATTTTAGGTGATCCAAGGGAGAAGAATAGGACCCAGTAAAAATACCAAACACTACATATAAATACCTGTGGGGCTACTCAGCATCCAAATTAGCTCCAGAGCCAGAGAGGCCACATAGAAAGTCATCCCTGTACCGGAATAAAATTTGGACTCAGCTCTGGCATAGCTTAACGCTGAGCCACCCTTGTTAACCCACTTTATATGCCTGAAGAGCTTGTATTTGGCCCTACGAAGAATTCACTTTTGTGCCATTAATGATAAACCTAACTGTTACCAGTGTAATTAAAAGAAATTATACACTATGACTACAGAGATCAAGGGTATCATATATGTCCTCCTTGGTATGTACCAGATTAGCAGAATTACTAATAAGAACAGTTCTAGCCACATATCTCCATAGTGTCAGACAAAACAGGGCAGGACAGAGATGTACATATCTATGTCCATTATGTACAAGGATGAGACTTTGTCCCACGAATGAAATCTCTTGTTTTCCACTGTAGGGACAATAAAAGTAGAAATATGAATAGAAATAAAGACAGCACCCTATCATGCTGTAACAGCTCAACAGCTGACTGATGGCTGGAGGCTGGTCATCCGGCACAATCTCTAGGAAAAGCCAAGGTCCTCAGGATAGCCTGTAAGTCCCCCCATGACTCCCTACTCTGTTCCTTCTCTGGCCTCATCCCTGCCCACCTTGCCATCACTGCCTTCAACTCCAACCTCATTGGCCTGCAAGCTGTCCCCCTGTACCCTCCAGACAGGCCCCACCACAGGGTCCCAACATCCATTCCCTCAGCACCAAGCCTCTCACGGTTGCTCCTGTATTTCCTCAAGGATTTACTCCAAGTCCCTTTTTCGGTAATGTTTTCTTTGTCCCCTGCTATTTAAAATTGCAACCATGTTCCCTGACCTTGCATTTCCTATCCCCTCCCCCAATTTGTTCCCCATAATAATTATTTGTTGAAAAAATGAATTAAAAGCAAAAAGTGTTAATGAAGCCTCATATAAAACAAAAATATAGTCCCACCTGAAACCCTAAAAGTGGCTTTGGCCACTGAAGTTCAAGGAAGGCAGCTGACCTTCACTCTGTAACAGGTCCTGGCGTAATACCATACAGATGCTGTCTTATCTAGTGTATGTTGCTGATTTCGACCCTATTCATCCATCTCCCCTACTAGGGTGAGGCCTGGGAATACACTTTACTTGTCTTCCTACTCCCCACGTATAGCAGGGAAGGAACACACTCTTCACAGACAAATGAATGAATGAGTTTCACAATCCTTATGCTCTTCAAATATTTAGTGAAAAGTTCATCTAGAAGACAGCTGAAACTACCAGTAAATCCTAGTTAGCTGGAAAATGGCATACCAATAAAAGCCAGGATATGTTAAAGGCAAATTTTATGATACTGTTTAAAAAAAAAAAAAGCCCGAAGAAGAAGGGAAGTGACACCGTGCTCTCCCTACAACTTTCTAGCCTCTTTCTTATCCGGTCTGATTACATTATGGCAGGGAGCTTGGCCTGTCTGAACAATACCACACCCCTAAAATAAACCTCAACTTTTCACCCCGAGGAAATGTTCTATTTTATTAGATGATTAACCTTTACGAAGCCCCAATTTCAGGTTTCAGTGAGGTATTTTTAGGTAGAGCCAAGGTATTTTTATGTCCCTCCTTGTAGAACTGTGAACAATAAACTTATAGGGCCAATAGTTTACCTCTAAGTCAATTCTAGTTTCAAGCCATGCATCAAGGTTTATTCTTTTAGCAAGTGTGGTTCTTCCAATAGCCATCTGATCATTTTGAAAAGAAACAACAGAATTTGGACAGAGTGACAGCCTTATGAAGTTAGCAAATAAGCACAAATCCATTTTGCCTGAAAACATAAGAGAAAACACAAAAACAAAAGCGTTACTTCCTGACCATTAATTAATTAGTCAACTGCAACAAGTTCAGTGTGAGCTGGGAGCCTGGCCCTACAACAACAGCATTTATTCCATCTACAATGTACTTCACCCAGGTTAACTCTGCCTTCCTAAAAACTTCATGAAGCGTGACCACTGCCTGCTCTTACATTTGTTCCCACACCCATGTCCTCAAATAACAAAACCACAACTTTTACAAAACCGTAACACAAAAGGGCCTTTGTGGGGCGAAACACAATTTCTCAGTAAGACCTGGTAATTTTGCCCTGTCTTGGATTAGTGGTTCAGAAACTTTGACAGTTATTTAGCACACGCCCAAACAATTACTGGTTTCATTAGCGTCTGAGCCAACTTCATTACACATTAACAGTATGATGTTAATAATATCCTTAATAATTACTGGACTAGTTTACAAAGCGTCTTTATATACTGTTGGTGGAGCTGGCTGGTGTTTGATTAACAAATCTCTTCAGTGTTTGAAGGCCACATTTCAGACCTTTTAGTCTTTCACAGTCCAGTGTACATGAGGATAATTTTTCAGTGAGTGTTAGGCATCAAAAGTCCTAAGCTCCCTCTTGCATGTGATCCATTTACTTCAGAGGTTATGTACACATTCTTGTCTTCCAACAAATCAGTAGTTACATTTTAACCTACCCTTGGGCTCCACCGAGAGATAATACCACCCCATCCATTTACGTATTTTATAAAATGAACACTTTTGGAACAGATGCCCTACTATACGGTGGAGCGGTGCATGGTATTTTGCTGCTCACAGAGATTAAGATTAGTTCTTCCTTCCAAGTGTACCAAGATCAGTATACAAATGACTGCCAGGCAAGGCAGAGCATAGTGAGTATTACAAGAATTATAAAATGTATTGAGATTTATCACAGGCAACAATCGTATCAGGTTTGGGGGGATTCAGGCAAGACTTGATGAATATGGTAATATTTGACCTGGTTCCTGAAGAATGGGTAAGCCTTTAGAACAAGTTGAAGAGGAGAGGGAATTCCAAGAAAAGGTACAGCGTGAACAAAGGTATGAGAAGAACACAGGACCTGCTCCAGAAGCAGCATGCAGCCCGGTGAAGGCAGGAGCATAGGACATGGAAGTGGTGGCACACCCAGGTATAAAGGAAGGGAAAGCCAGAGCACGAAGGGCATTTTTGCAATTGGTGCAAGGGAAGTGTGATATCAGGGTAATGCAAACGGTGATAAGAAAGGTGGATCCTGGGGAAGAAAGTCTGCGAGCAAGGAGAGTCTGGAATGGTATCGTGGTTGTCCAGATGAGACATAAGGGGGTGCTGAATGAATGAGAACAACAATGGCAAAGGACATGGAAGAGAAAGAAGGGATATAAGGGCCATTTGTGGGGCAGGACTGAACGGACAGATTTGATATATCGGAGGGGAAGGAGCTGGTAATCCCTCTGATGTGGTGACTCTGGGTGATCAGGGAAATAATGGGGAATTTAGGAGGCAGCCCTGGTAGGGGGAGGAGTGATACTTTATTTAGGGATTTGTAATGAGTTTTTTTTTTTCCCTGAGATGTGAATAACTAAACCCCTTTCATGGAATCCAAGTTGTCAAGTCAAGAGAAACAGGGCTACTGGTGAGGTTACAGTGGAATCACGTTTGTGGGGATTCTCACACTGCAATCTAATCCCAGAGTCTCTACCTCAGAAACACAGCTGGGAGGATCAAACTTCCAGAGTTCAAAGTGGTGCAACCTAAGAGTCAAACGCAGCAAATTCAGTGACCTAGTTGGCCCACACCTCAAGAGTTCCTCGTTCACAGCTTGGCTTGTGGTCACTCTCTTCTCCCTTTACTATATTTTCCATTTACCGAAGAAATTTCCACATGATTTAAAACTTATTCAGGCAATTACTGGCCATTAGCCATGGCCACAGGCAAGAGGCTGATGACAATATGGAACGGAGTCTTTGGGTTTATCAGTGGTTTGATCTTCATTTTGTTTTACATTATCCTTCTGCTCACGCCTACTATTAATAAGTTAATGCACTGCAAGTTTTTTCTCAATACAACTTTGTCAGACTACTAGTCCCTTTGCCAACAATTTTACTGAGTGACTCCAACAACGAGATTAGGCATCTAGTCATGCACTATGATATGATGCGATTTGATGCTGCACTCTCCCAAGTATTTCTTGTCCTATGTGCTCTTGCCATCTCATGTTCCTGTCAATCTTTAGGGTGGAAGAGTACTTTTTCTGACTGACAAGTCAAATTGTGCAAAGTCACTGCTTAAATGTCACAATTCAGGGCATAGCCATCAAAGAATAAAACAAGGGAGCCCCACCAGAACCACCTGAGGGGCAATTTCATCATGCAAGATCCAAAGGAAAGCAAAGCTGGAGCTCTTGCCCCCTAAAGGGTCTCTGATTTCAGAGCAAAGGAAAGGGCTGCTATGAAAGGGGAAGACCTGTTACAAATGAGGTTAGATACATGAAACAGAGGACCCTGCAAACTGCAAAGGACCTTGAAAATGCTAATTTATTCCTGTTCATTTCACAACTAACCAGGGTTTAGATGGTTTCCTTGTACTATTCACACAGAGATTAAGAACTTAAACATGTACCATGGCCTTTGCCACTTGGTTTTTGGAAATGACATTCCATGATCTGTTACAGTTTCAAATGTCTCCTATCCTCAAAGTCAGTCTCTTCCTATATTGCTATGAGACTCTCACCAAGATGTATGAACTATTCCAGCCACATCCTACAGATATGATTGTGGGCCTCTAACCAAAAATCACCATCAGAACAACACTGAACAAATGGCTTTCAAAGCAAGCTACTATGATTTCAGATAAAAAAAAAATTAAAGTTGCACTTAAAAAGGAAGCTACAGAAAAAATGATAAAATAAAAGAAACAGCACAAAGAGTTTTAGGAGGAAATATATAATACACATTCAGAATCTCAGATCAAGGGAAAATGAAGGTATCACAAAACCGAGAAGTTGGTAGGGAT